TAAAAATTTCTTATTATAGAGTTTGTTTTATACATTAAAATACTAAATGTAAAAAATTAGGGTATTACAAGTGTTGCACATACACTTTCAATATTGTTTAGGTTGTCAATGATGTTATTTCAAGTTCATTTTGTTTCAGGTTACTTCATTGACATTACAAGTCAATGAAATGAAGATAATGATGATATTTTTACTACAGAATTTTCAGGATCAACTATCTTCACAATTTACCATGTTCCAAGCATCACCGGTAATAATTGAAAATTCATCAAATATTTTTTTATAATTTCATTACTACTCACTTTTATTTTATTTTATTTTATATTGTAGGTATTTGATCAAGGAAGTGTTCCTCATGAAGATACAAATCAAGAAGAAAGTTAACGAGTGTTTATAACATTGTTGGCTTTTTAAATATTGTTGTTATTGGTTATTTTTCTGTTAAAATGTTGAATGTCAAACAAAGATATTGTTTAATTGTATTGCTAAATTTAGTTTATGAATGAAGTGATGTCCAGAATATTAATTTGATTTTAATTCAATGAAGAATTAATGTTTAACAATTATATTTATTTTATGAACATATTGATGTCAAGAATATTAATTTATCCAATGATGAATTAAGGTATACTTTTATTAACAGGGGAAATATAAGAATGAGTGATAGCATGGGTAATATAAGAACAACAATGATTCAAATGCCAGGCATTAACAGTGGTTTCAAACCGCTGCTAAATTTGCAAACCAACGACGGTTACAAACCGCACTTAATTAGTAGGGGTTCAAAACCGTCGCTAAATAACAACGGTTACAAACCACGACTAAATAACCACAGTTAAGAACTGTGACTAATTACCAGGGGTTATAAACCGCCGCGAACTAGCAACGGTTACTAAACTACAGGTAAGTTGTATCATTTCGCAGGGTTCCTAGAAACCGTCGGGAATCACTTAACCACACTATATTTTATGACGATTTTGAGAACCGCAAGTAACGTACTTACTAGGGGATTAAACCGCCGGTAAAATAAAAAATAACCCCTATTAAAATTAATTTTTTTTGTAGTGATTGAGTTTTATAGTATGTCCTAATTTATATTAAAGTGAAAAAAAACCTAACGTTTAAGTCAATAAATAAATAAACAAATAATAAAAAAATGTTTAATTATAAATAAGATTCATATCAAATCTTTTTATAAAGTAATACTTGATATAATTATCAAATCTTTATTTTTATGTAACTTGTTCAAGTATCTAAATTTTTTTTATCTATCTAATATTTTAAAGTAGAATAATAAATTATTTATTGCACCTATTGTTATATATATATATATATATATATATATAATCAACCAACTAAGAAAGTAATAAAGTTGTATGATGCTTACTAATTAATGATTAAGAACCAAATAAAGAATGAAAGACTCGTTACGTTTAGAATTAGTTCCCACCATGCATTACCATGCTAACAATTACGCCAATTTCGGAAATCTCTTTCTCTCTCTCTATATATATATATATGTGCCTATTAATTTCTCACCATTTTCTTAGATTCAAATATTTTCGATTGTGAACAACTCAAACCGTGATTTTCGCTTTTGACTTTATACCATTCTCGTGTGTCTCTCTCTTTTTGTCCCAAAATCAGAACAAATGTAATTTGAAGGACAATGATATTGTGAAAATAAAATAGTTTCTATTTGTTTCTTATTGGAAACCAGCTACAAAGTTTAACTTTAATTTGGTGCTGCATTCAGAAATCATATTATACATTACATGGGATTAAGATGAGTGGAACACTTTAATCACTTTCTTTCACTTTCACATTGCTTTGTTTGTTCTCATACCTCATCAATATGTATTAGCTACTTTATTTCTGGTTTTGATTACCCTAATAATGACGCAATTAATTATGATGTTCTTTTATAGGTAACATGAGCAATTTTTATGCCTACAATTTTGTCTTTCATTTCACCATTTCTAGACTAGCCAAATTTTGGGAGAGTTTACAAAACTTTTATTTTTAGGTTAAGTTAGTATAACACCCGTGTCCCACACCAGTTAACTTTAAAAGCTTAAATTAAATACAGTTATCGTGACAAAAAAGCAAATAACAAAACACAATTCAAAAAATTATTGTAGACTCAATTGATTTTAGCCTAATAGTTTTTTTTTATCAAATTTTAAAATATAATAAAGCTTAAAAATGAAGAAGAAAACAAATTAGTAAAAGAACATGATTTGGTAAACCATATATATCTTACATTTTTAACCAAAAGGTAAACAATAATAAAAACAAAATACACACTAGAACATGTGTTTTATCACTAGAAAACCTAGCCATTGAATAATCAATTTGAATGACCTATTGCAGTTCAAAATGGCAATATTTCGTTTTCCTATGCTACATCAATGCGTGTAAGGGATTTGATTGGAAGTAATGATTATATTTGACTTTGGTTTCAAAGCTTAATTTTGGCTTATAATGAATTTTTAAATAACGAGTATTTGAATACTCAAATAGTGAATGAAAGTAAGACTTTTAACCTCTAAGACTATGTTTGTGTTGAAGTTGGAAAGTGTTTTTGAGTTTTATAATGCATAAATGAAGAAGAAAACATTGTTAATTTGAGGAAAAAAAAAAACTTTTTATTTTCAATTCAAATTTAAGCGTAAACTAAATTTAAAGATGAAGATAGAAGACAAACATACATTTTTTTTTAAATCGCATGTTTTTAATAAATATTTGCTCAATATCACATTGTTTTACATTAAATAACCCGTTTTACTATTTTGAGAAATCTGGGTATTTAATTTTCTTTTAACGATTATTCTGAGAAATCGGTTTTTGTTAAACCGATTAATTAATAACGTTTTCTATTTATTTAAATTTAACAAATAATTGTCGACAATTTAAAAGAATTGAAATAATTGGTGGTTGTTATTAAAATAAATTTAATATTCGTGATAAGTTTTTATTTTTGTTCAAGACAATTTGTTATTAAAAAACAATTTAATATTTGTAAATATACTTGTATATAGTTATTTAATTTTAGGTAATATTTTTAATAAATATATTAAATTAAGTAATTAAATAACCTGATTTTTTGGTTAATATTTAAATGAAATATTTTATTAGATAATATTTTATAATAGAGTAAAGTATTAAATTTTAATTATAATAATATTATTCATAATTAGAGTGTTTTAAAAAAATTGTACTAGTGACCACGCGGAAAATCAAGACAAAAAGCATGGACTCATTTTCGTTTTACATTATTGGTGGTTTAAACAGTTAACGTGCATGTAACTTGCATTTTGTTACTGCTTCTAGCAGCGTTAATGTTGATAATCTTTAACAAAAGCACTTTGAAAAAGTAAAATAAATATTAAACTATTTTTTCAGAAGTTCAAATAAATTTATATTTAAACTAATTTATAGAAATTTACTTATGTTAACTTCTTCAAAAAGTTATTTTTAGCTTTTATATATATATATATATATATATATATATATATATATATATATATATATATATATATATATATATATATATATATATATATATATATATAAATATAAGTAATGGAATAACTATTTTATTGATTTATTTTCTAAGAGTATTTATCAAGAATTTTATCTAAGGAGTGATGATATATATAACTATTCTCAATCAATCATCCATCCAATAATTATTTTTAAATTTTTATAACTATTTAATTAAAAATTTTCAAACATCCAATAAATAATTTTAAAATAGTTTTTTTTATTGATAAAAGATAATAAAATAAAACAGATAAATAATAATACAAATTTTTTAAGTAGATAGTTGAATGAATATTTAGAAAATAAGATTCTCTCTATGTCATGATTCTTTTATCTAAAAAAACCTATACATACTAATAACAGTTGTTAACCGCTAAAGTTATCAGGAGAAGCACACGCAGCTTGAAGAAAGTAATGTCATGTCCATGTTACATAGTCAGTGGAGATGTTTCATGTGAAACACAGGATAAAGCTACCGTCATATGAGAGGGAGGAAGTGACTAGGAGCATCTGCCTTTACTAGATTTGTGTAAAGGCTTTGTTTCTGCAATAAGTGACTAATTCATTGGCAAATAACTATATCGGTTCTGTTGTGAACGCATGCATATAGCTCAATTACCATCACCCACGCATTCTTCTTTACACAGAAATCATTTCGTTTTCTGGTACTGGTACCATGGTGGGTCACAATCAACCTTCATAACATAATTGGAAGTGACTATTTCATTACTGTAAATGAATAAATTTTATAATATATCACAGTAGCTGCAATGTTAGTTTATATCCTGCAAATTCCTAAACAGCTGTTATATCTATCATTCGTATTTTCAGTAATAACGGAACAATTGATGAATACTGGAGTTCTCTCCCGATTTTTCCGTCTTCTACCTTTGGATTCATTTGGGCTCAATCAGAAATATGAGAGCTCAAGTCTGATGTAAATAATTTCAACACACGACTAAACGGTCGTTTTCCGCCAAGATATGAGGTTCTTTCTCGACGAAGATAATTCTGTAAAGAAGTGTGATTACAGATGGCACGTACCGCGACAATTATATGTTGCATTTCATAAAAAAAACTAATTTACACGACGAGTCCAAGTATTGACTATATTTACCCGGTCTAAGCCTGGTCCACTTAGCACCAAAAATCAACTACTCCGCAAACATAAAGATACAACTAAGTTCACAAAGGAAAACTATGCATAAAAAATAAAATACAAAATCTACATGGTCTCCCTTCGTATTCATGCCTCCAAATATTCAGCAAGAACGAACAGTCAATTCTACTAAAACGGCCATTGCATAACCTCCTATGATTTCGTATAGAACAAATTGTTAAATCACTCGTCCAACATCACCAAAATGAATTCAGTTTAAGCGTCAGTGCCCATAGCCAATAAACAGGTGAATGTAGTCATCCCCAGGGATTTTAAGATCACAAGCTCACTTTTGTTAAGACCACAAGGAACTCAGCTTGGACGCAAGTTTGGCAGCCTTGTAGTCATCCCGAAGTTGAATAAATCTGATGCATAGCAGATAAATGAACATTTTTATCACCAATCATAAACATCGACATTAAGTAATTTGTTTACTGGGATGATGTCGTTGGGAAGGGGGGCTCATTAATAACCACCACCATCAAGACTTGTTATCTTAACAGGTGGTGTAAACTACATAATCAGCAACTTATATTAGTTTATCAAAATCAATTTTTTAGTCAAACCATTAAGACAAAGACCATTTTCAACAGTTTTTCCTAAAATTTTCCTCTACCGAACAATCTTCCATTTGATCCACTTATCTTACTGGAGTCCTTAATACCAAATTACCTTAAGGCTATCCACAAAGGGTGCTTCAGTGGTAATCAAGCTTGAATTCAATGGTTAAGTGAAAGTGTTTGTGTGAAGGGACAATTAAATCTTGATCGGGGTTTACTCTCACCCCAAAAGATACTCCATGAAAAGAGTGCAAGGAAAAAAAGTAATACCACACATAAAAAAGAAGAAAAAAAAAATCATAAAATGAACAACATAATGAAAAATGAACCTGCACATATTGAGAGCTCTTGAATTGAACAGCAAAAGGAAAGGATATTTTGTTATATATATATATATATATCAGTATTAATCATTTTATAATGACGATAGGGGTGATTGTAATAATAATATAGGCAACCAATAAAACATAAATCATTGCATTATTTACAGGTCCAATGTAATTATACCTTTGTGCGTCTTTCCGTATGCTGGGTGTGCCCTCAAACAAACTCGAAAGGCTCTCAGGAGCAACAATAAATACATTGGCCATTCTATACAAAGTATTCAGAAATTAGTACGTAAATGCCGGGGGGAGGGGGGGGGGGCACAATTTTAAACGAATTGCATGTTATTCAACTTACATGCCCAACAATTCAAACTTTTCATCAACAGAAGGAGCATTGAAACTACGCAGATATTCTCCATATTCAGTAATGTCACGCTTCAGTCGCAATCCCCCACTGCAAAGCAATTCATGAGCATATAACAATCAGCAGGATATTATAGAACCAGTTGGTGACAAACTATCAGCATAAATTTTGAATAAGTAGAGCATAGAGAAAAGAAAACAAGGAATGTAGGACCCAGGCTAATTACCTTGGATTAAAAGTATACTTCTGCCAATGGTTTAATAGCACCTTGTGCAAGCGGTTCCCCTAAAATAACAAAATTTATCATGTTATCACTGAAATTAGGACAAAGAGCCCAAGCAACATATAATATTTCACCATCGCCATCTCACTACCTGAGAAAATTTACGATGACGCACAAATAATATAAACAGCATAATTCAAGACAGGTAATATAACTAACATTGAACATCACAATTAATGCAGGGATAGCTCCATCAAAATGCTTTATTAAACTTTTTGAGTTTAATTTCATTTTATTTTTTCTTGCCATATCTTTGTGTAATTGTCTGTTGTTCTTACTCCACAACAAATACATCAGTCTTTTGGTTTTCTTTTCTCTGACAAAGCAGCTCAGCTAAGTGTTATGGGCCAGTCTAGATCATGACTGTGAAAGATAATGTTTAAATGATATTATCCAGACACCAAAAAAAAAAAAAAAAAAAGCAAACCCGATAACATTAGTAATAAAATATTAGTAATAAAATATAAGTAGATGAAAGTATGCAGTTGAAAGCAATAAAAAGTTTCAGGCAGAAGCAGATCAGTTTCACTTGAACCAAATTAACCACCCAAGATAGAATGCAAGCTGGATCTTCCTTAGAAACAAAAAATGAATCAACAGTGAGGACCCTTCTCCATCAGTAAACATTGATTAGGGACAGAACTATCACAACAAGGAAGTAAACAATCAAAAGAAACCCCTTCATCCAATTAAAAAGAAAAATGATGAACTCAAAAGGGTTTATTTCTCCCTAATAAATAATTCTGTATATACATGGCCAACTACAAGAAAAGTGACTTTCAACCAATGAGAGTGTTTTAGAATCCCAGAACCTTCTGAAAAGATCATCCTCCTATCTGACTCTGTACAAGCGGCCAACTCTTTCATTCAACAAGTCATCAAATCAATATATTCAATAATCAGCTATAACTATCATACCAACTCAGTCAGGAATGCTTGTTTGTTAAGGCCTTCAAGAGCAGTGAATGCAGATTCCAGCACACGGGAAAGATAAGCAACAACTCTGACACAGAAAACCAAAAATATACTTGTTAGTTATGAATACAAAGATGAAGAAATAAACTAAAAACTAAATGCTGATATATATGTCAAATAAGATTAAAACATGGTCCCTCAAATAACATCGACATCTGTAGTGTAGTGTCTAGAAACTGTACAGACTTGCTTGTTTTATAACCAAACAGATTAGCAGGGAGATCAAGAGATGATGTTTTGACTAGTCTGGTCAACCCTTTAAAAACAGAAGCTTAGTAACCAGTGAACCAGTGCTAAAGAATATTTCGGCTTTTCCTCCATGATTCTACTTGTGTACTAACATACATGATACTTTTATATATTTTCATATATTGATAGGATGTACTTAAACAAGCACGGTTGGGCCTTGAATCCTTGAACTGATCTAGTTTTACCTTGCTAAATATGCATCAAGAATAAAAGCATAAAATTTCAAATGTTCAATAAAGTAAAAACAACCAAGTTCACATACACAGAGATGTAAATTACAGAAACTATAAATATTATCAGTACTATTAAGTAGTTTCAGTTCAAGTTTAAGTAACATCCACCTTGTGCAGGCACTAGTTGCCCGGTGGTCAGGAACAATTGCATCATCTGGTGATCGATAATCTGTAGCCTTTTGTTCAGCTGAAAGCAACCGCTCAACCTGCCAAGGGGTTTAAAGTGAAATACTTCAGAGCTTAGGAGCTAGGATTCCAACTCGAAGAAAAAGAAAAAAACATATGAAACACCCAGAACCAGCCCGTTTCTATTAGATGGATAATAGGCAGACAGAGTGTAGCCATTATGTTTAATATAGTTGAGCACTGGTTATTACACATTATATTATAGGTTCAACTGACCTCAGCCATGACAGTTTCAATGCACTGTTGTAATCCTTTATAAGCAGCTGCCTCTGCGCTTGACAATGCTGTAGCCATTTCCTCACAAGCAGCAGCATGTGCACCATCAACAGGGAGCAAAAGCCGAGATATAGAATTAGTAAAGTACTGCAGAGAATGACTCATTTTAGTTATAAGATTTGTTTATAACTAAAAATATTAATTAAAAATCAAGGCTCCATATTGTACTTGTTGAATAATAGCTACACTGCTTCCAGATCGTTGTACAGCAATCATGAAAGATCTGAAACTACTTTCACCAGCAGCAGCAGCCGCCTCTGCCTGCATATCAACAAATAAATCTTGAATATGTCTGGTGAAATGTGCTCATATTGACACTACTATATACTTCACAAGAGCATGCGAAAAGATTGTTTAATTACAGCAGATGCAGCTGCAGCAGCTACTCTACGGGTAACACTTGTACCCAGCACAAATCTTTCCCTCAAATTAGCTGCTTCAGTCAGGCTGTCTCTGGCCCGTTCAAGCCCATCAGCTATATATTGACTAACCTGTAAAAGAGACAGAAAATGACACCTGAATAAGGAACTGCCTTGCACTAAAGGTATCAAATATCAGAATGCTGACAAAATGTGAAACTAACTTACTTGGTCTAGAAGGCAAGTAAACACTGCTTTTACATAGGTTGCAAGTATTGCAGGCTGTAAAAGAAAAGTTTAAATTACTCATAAAGGATTAAAATATTAAGTTCAGATCAAACTATCAGAGCTTAACTACCTAAACATTGGTAAGTGCCAAACAAAGACACATTGGAAATATTATGGAATGATGAATTATTACAAAAATATTGATAAACTGTAATACAAAAAAAAATAAAATCACATTTAGTATTAGTATAATAAGGCTCTTTGATTTTTATACTCGTCCAAATAAACATTTAGTTTACCAACATGAAATGAATTTAAACAAGCCTATAAAACACAACCTCGCACATTATGCTTCATAAATCCAGTTAACCTAAGCAATGCACTGCAAAGCATACTCTTGTGTGTGTGTGTGTGTGAGGGGGGGGGGGTTCTGTAGTAAATAGTTACCTGGGAAGCAAAGAGAATGCATCTTGAGATTGCTTCCTCATTCCAACGCACAAACTCTGTCACAACAGTAACAGATATTTGCTGCTGAGAAGAAACTACTGAAGCTCCTTTTGAGCGTCCAATTGTCCCAGAATCAGAAATCTGCTGGTTTTCAGCTCGTAATTCTTCCATCTGCATATTTTAGCCACATAAATCTTAATGCAATCCAATCCAGTTAGCGTTGTAACATGTGTAAATTATTCAGTCTGTGTATTTTTTCTTTTTTGTATTTAATTAGATATATTCCTCCATTAGGGTTGATTGGTATAAGTCTCCTTATTTGTAGTAACCAGATTTGATTTGTCCATAAGTCTAACTTAGTTTTAATATTAAAGTTGTATAAATGGTGAATTGTGTTGTACCTTTGAATCATCAGAAAATATATTTACTTTCCTTCATATTCACCTTCATAGAGACACATAAACCCTAGTCTCTACCTTCATTGTGGCCATCTTAGGCAGGCTTTATTGCTGCCATAGGTGCCCAGGTGGCACCTTCAGTTGCACTACAAGTTTTACAACCACTGTGTCCCACCACTTAGTTTTAGGGTGGCAACTTCACCAAATAAACCACCGCCACAAGACTCGTTGCTGGAAGCCATCAAACACACAGCCACACACCCTTTCTATGACATTTTTCCGTATTGTGCAAATCACATGATTCCCTGTTGTCAGTCATTTACATCACCACTGTCACTGTTGTACTTGTTGATAATCATCACATTACTACTGCTAATGGGTCAAAAGTCACATACCCCAATTGCTGAATGTGATAACATTCAATTCCAACCATCTATCTCTTCACGTATAAAATGTGCATCATCTTCCTTCACTTCACAATTAATCTTGCTTTGATATACAAACTTACTCAAGATTTGAAATGTGTAGTAAATAGTAACATCCTTTTCTTCCTATTGTGCCATTCAGGATCTTGCCACAAAAAGAATAATTGAAACTGATACGGAATGGGGAAGGCTATATTATTTGCAATGTGTAGAAACCAAAAGGAAGTTCCAAACTGAGTGTGTCCACAGTGTGTGGCTTCGCAACGGCTTCAATGCAAGTGTCTAATGCATCCTCCTTCCAGTAATCTTAACTATTCAGTCATTGTTCCTCATATATTTATTCTAGATTCATTGAATCTTTTAATTGTGATGTACATCTAATTTCACACAAAAAAAATCGCACAATTTTTTGTTTAGTAATAATAGGAAAGATGAGCCTTTAGAACTTGTTCATTCTCATGTTTGGGGAGACCAGCTCCAATTTTTATAATGTATTGCATTATAGTTTGTTTCTTTCATGAATGACTATATTCAGGTTTCATGAATTCACCAGATGAAAGATAAATAGGAGGTGTTTCAACTATTTCTGAATTTATATTGGATGGTTAAAACTCAGTTTGGAAGATCAATTAAACAACTAAGCTCAAATAATGGAAAGGAATCGGTGAATCAGAATTTTCCTAATTTTCTCCAACAAAATGATGTTATTCATAAACTTACATGTGTCGATATCTATAGCAAAATGAGGTAGTCGAACAGAAAAACTGCCTATCTCCTTGAAGTTGTCGGGAATGTTATTTTCAAACGCCCATTCCAAAAATCTTATTGTGAAGAAGTTGTTTCAACTTCCACCTATCTAATGAACATGTTAACTTCTTAGGTTCTCGGAGTTACCCCAATCCATTTCATGACTTCATATATTTCTATTTTGAAAGTCATGCACATTATGTCTTTGGTTGTGTTGCCTTTGTCCATGTCATAGTCAACATTGTGGTATACTAGATCCTAGGGAAGTCAAATGTAAATTTATCTGGTATGCACTAGGCAAAAAAGGACAGAGATGCTATCACCCCTAAAGTTGCCATCTTTATGTTTCCAATTGCTGAAATAAGAGACACATAGGCTGAATCCCTAATGTTATCTCTTTATATGTAAGATAAATACAAAGATTAAGAAAATAAACAAATGATGTGGGCCTAAGCCCATTACATTTAACACTCTACATATAAATCGTATGCTTCAAGTTTGTTACAAATATAATCAATTCTAGATCCCCATCATGATTTAGTAAACACATATGCTAGTCAATCATTAGAGTTAACAAACTAAGTCTTGATTTCTTAGATATAATATTTTCTCGAATAAAATGACAATCAATCTCAATATGTTTGGTTCTTTGATGAAAGACGAAATTTGAGTTAATATGAAAGATGACTTAATTGTAATACATAAGTGTCATTTGAGTGACCTCTCCAAATTGTAACTCAAGTAATTGTTTAAGCTAAATGAGCTCACAAGTAACTGAGGTCATAACTCTATATTTTGATTCTGCACTAGATCTTACTATAACATTTTGTTTATTGTTCTTCCAAGAGATCAAGTTGTCCCCAATGAATACACCATATCTAAAAGTGGATCTCTTATTAAATGGAGAGTCTGCCCAATCAGCATCTGAATAATATACAACCCTTTTTCAGAAGAATTTTTAATATACTTCAATGTATGGATGAGAGAATTCCAATGCATATGGAGAATTAAGAAACTGACTCAATACACTGACTGCAAAAGAAATGTCAGGATAACTAACGGTAAGATAGTTTAACTTCCCAAGGATTTATTACCAATTATGTGATTTGTGAAACCCAAGGAGCAAGAGAGTTGGAGTGGGTGACGCTAGCAAATGATGTAACTGTGTGTGCAACAGAAGCAATGGAACCTGAGTTCTGATGATTCTCATACCATTTGATAAATTCATTCAAAATAGCATGTTGTTCTGAAGGATGTGAGGTAGTAGCAGCAGAAAAGACCATAGATAATTATAGAGAAATAAATTGATTACCAGGAGAGAGAAACAACCCTAAAAAATATTAAAAAAAGTTCCAACAAGCCCCGATCACAACGAAAGTTACAGATCCAAAGACGGTGGAGAGGTAAGTCTGGCGACGTTGATCGACATCAAAGATGATGTTAGACGCGCCACCCCATGTGGCACTAAGTAAATGCAATGGCGTGGGTTGGGGTGGTGCGTGAGGGTGTGTTGGAGCTTCAATCACCACAATTTTTGAGGTGTGGTGGTTGTTCAGCCGAGATAAACCCCATAGTGGTGTCGCCATTTCAAACAATGGTGGCAATGGCGGTGAAAAAAAAAATTGGAAAGAAAAAAGAAAGAAATTTAGTACTGGTGAACAATGGGTTTACCAGGGAGACAAGGAATAAACCTAAGAGAAGCATAGGCTGAATCCCTAATGTGTGTTAAGCAAATAGGGTTATCTCTTTATATATAAGATAAATACAAAGATTAAGGAAATAAGTAAATGATGTGGGCCTAAGCCCGTTACATTTAACACAAGTGCTGTTAAGTATCATGAGACAGTATTGCTACTCCTTCAACTACAGCCAGTATTCATAATTTATAGAAGTTTCCTGTTCAGCTTTTTGTGAGCCCTTCTTCTCTTCCTTATTTGTTTTTCTTCATGTGCAGATTTGGCATCTTCCTCTGGCACTACTACTAACAGCATGTCAAAAGTATTTGAAGCAATTCGAAACAACATGAAGAAGCCATTATTGGTACACAATAGAAGGAGAAAACCCAACTTGTCTCAAGAGCAACCCTACTGTCCAAACTAAAGGTGATACTTCAGAGTCGTTGGAAATTCTTTTGAATAATTGCAATTCTAATCCTGAATACTTTCTTGTTACCTTGAGAAATGAAAAAATATGCTTCGTTAAATATTCAAGTTTGTGTCTAGTGTAAACACCTTTCTATATACTACCAGAGTTTTATCTCAGCAATTATTCTATTAAGATCACCAAACCAGTACAAGAAGCCTTAAAACAGGAGAAATGGATTCAAGCCATGAATAAAAATCATAATTGATGACCTAAAGCCAATGTGAACCATTATTGATGAAAATCATGCTTGGTGACCTTCGAATTAAGTTTGAAGTACCTATGAAGCTGCTTTTCTGCAACATCATAACTATCATTAGCATTTCCCCATAATGCGATTCAGAATGACAAGAGAAAACATGTAGAAATGTATCAGCATTTCATCAAGGAGATAACATATGTTCCTTCTGGAGTTCAGTTGGCAGCAGTTCTAACTAGGGCTACCCACAAAGTGATTCCAAGATCTTACTAGCAAGCTATGAACACTAAACATCCATTCACCAGCTTCTAAGAAGTGTTGTAACATGTAATGCATTTTTTTTTCTTTATTTAAACATATTTACTTCTTTATTTGAATTGACTGGTTAAGGTTACTTATTTGTGGTAATCAGGTCTGATTTGATGTCCTTAATTCTATCTTAGTTTTTATGATCAAAGCTGTATAACTATAAATAGTGATCCTTGTTGTGCTCTTTGAATCATCATAAAATATTTTTCCACATATTCCAAGTGTAAGGGCAAAGAATTGAAACAATCACAAACCTTCACTTTATATAATTGCGTAAGAGATGCCTGCTCGTATTCAGGATATTCATCCTTGTGGCTTGAAAATAGGGACTCTGTTAGACCTGAATAAACAGAACTTACTGTTAGGTCACCTAATAATTTTTTCTAATATTCTAAATCCAGTACAAAGCACATGTGACTATTAGTGGGAATGATGAATAATACAAGAATGAAGCATACATGTCATTACCACATTTCAAAGATGGGTAAGGTACATAAAATTAAAAAAATTCAAAAGTCCTACTTGAAAATTGCCATGAGGCAAGATTAGAAAACTCAGACTTCCTAGATTGAATAGAATCTTTTCCATTAAGCCATATAATAATTAGACTTGCATGTATAACACTAATATTGCACATCAAACAGAAGACATTGCCAAAGCAAGCAGATAAGTATGAAAGTACTACTCAAAGAATTATTAATGATCATGCCCACTAGATGACTAAGCGTGCGTTTGTTTTACTCAGATCCCAAACAAGACACGTTCAATGTAATTTCACTCTAACATTGCTTAACCGTTCCAATGAGGATTCAAACACAGCCAAAAAATTGTAAACCCCCAATAACAACTAACACAAACTATATTATATTGTAGGCAGATGACCAGCCTCTACAAATCATGAAAATATAATTGTCATTATGTTTCACTACAAAACCATGTGTACTTAAAAAACAGTACATCTAACAAACAAACAATATGATTCCTTCTAGTATCATTTTCATTTATGTTCCAAACCGTTTTTCCTTCTAAAGATAAGTTCACCGGATATAAATTAAGAAAATCATGCATATTTAAAGTTAATTCATTACCCTCAACATCCAAATCACCACACCCTACAGCATGTAGATCACTTGCTAGTTCTCGGGTCTTTTCATATGCCACTGCCAGCATTCGAAGATACTGAAACCTCAAATCAAATACAAATCACATTGGCATCAGCCTGCTGTTTACACAGGCTCTTGAGTGATAAAAATGAAGGAAGTTGGTTAATTGTACTCACTAATAGGAGCCCACCTTCCTCCATGGAAGGTAAATTGACAAGAGATGGTTTCTCTAACAGTTTGTCCAAAAGGGCAGTGATTCGCTGCTCCAAAACTCGCTGCACACAGAATTATCAGAACATTTAAATTTGGGAATACAGTAAACTATATAAAACCTGTTCAAGGCCACAACATTCAGTGAAGACTGTTATCTGGTACCTGAACTAAAATTGACATAACTTCACTTGGTGTGGGGAATACAGCAGTGACTGTTGCAGCCTCTTTACGAACAGTATCTGTAAAAAATGACTATTACTGTCAGTCATTGATTTTGTCAAAAATTTTTGTTTTACTAACAGCACAAAGTAATATTTCCAACCTGTGATTTCTTTATACAAGGAGGAAAGCCCACGAGCAACATTATTGGGGCTAGATTGGGCAGCCTGGTCGCCTATAACCAGCTTAGTGTCTGCATTCATTATTTCCACATCAATGAACATTGGACGTGTTGCCACATAATGTTGCATGGCACTTGTACCCCTGTTGAACTGCATTGCAATGGTAATATGCACTGATTTACCAAAAATTCAACATTTGATATGTATTTAGATGCAGTCGAAACTAGTGAGTTTATTTATTTCCATTATAAGCAAAGAAGCAAAATATACTGCAAGCATAAGATACAGAGGCAGAAACATTTGACAGCAACCTTTCAAACAACTACACTGAAAAATAATAAATTGAAGCTTGGAATCTGTTTAAAATGAGTTAAATTCAAATACAATTTAATCAATATCAGACCAGCTAGAGTAACATTAAATTCCATTTAGAATTGACAACTGTACAACATCTAGCAAATCACAAAGTACAATGCATTCTAAGCAAAAGGAAGACTCTGAAATTTAAAACGACACATTTTTATTACTTAGTGATGCAATTGGCAAGAGGGAATCAGCACAAGCAATGGATAAATTATGCATGTGAATTTGGCAAAGGAGAAGGATGAAAAGGAAAATAGCAATAAAAAATGGGATATTAGAGAAAGTGACAAACGATGTAAAAAAAGAATATCCTCAAAGGTATGAGAAACCTGGAAGCAAGCACAGACTACATTTGATGTACTGGCTCTTAGACTGAAATTGATATTGACAAGTGAAACAATAAGAGATATCCAACTATGGGACTTAAGAATTACAAACTCCATAAAACAAGATCGTAATACAAGGTTTTCAAAACCCATGAACATCAGGGAGGGATGATATCAGATACTATTTCTACTACCAACAATTCAGACTTTTTTAATTTGATTTTAAGATTATAACAATCCAAGAAATTATCTGAATGACAGTAGTAATATGGGAAAGGGACAGATAAAGAATAGGGGAAAGATAGAGGAATGTAATTGTGTACAACAAAACTTTATTACCTGAGACAAAATCTTGGCACACTCTGCCATGGTGGTCAATTCTCTTTTCTGTGATGCTGCATCAAACCGAGAAAGCAATCTATTCTCCAGTTCTGCAGACATGGTGAAAAATTATCAAAATTTTATTACTAATGAAACCCAGATATCAGTTTTAACATTCATGGGCTGCCACTAAATATTTTGGTCGTAACCTTATGTAAGGTCATTTAATCCAAAAATATCAGTATGTTCTTATATTCTAAAAGGCCAGAAGCAAAATTCTGCAAATGGACCCTGGTAATGGGGAGAGGTAGAATTGAGCTAGTGTTGAATTGTATTCCTCAAGGCTAGGTTAAGTAATCTGTTGATCTATGACTACAAAGTACATTATTAAATCTAGACACTTGCATTTCAAGATAAAGCCAAACACAAAAAGGCCGGAAAAACTGCCTCAGGAAAATAAAATATGAGCTCCACACTGTTCAGTAAACTCAATTTGTACTCGGAATTCTAGATGTCCATAGTAACAATTACAGTAAAAGCCAGGATCATAAAAAGGTGTTATATGACCAATAAGCCTAATTAGAGGCCTTATATGTAGAAGGTGTTTAATAAGCAAAGAAATATGTCAACATCATTGATAAATCAAATTGTGCTTTGAAATTCAACCTGTACATAGTTATTAAGCTTTTAAAGGATGCTGACCATTTTATCTGCCTCAAAATAAGAAGATAACCTCACAGATTACATAATTCTTAGATTGAATAAGGTACTTTGTAGTCATAATATTCTTGAAGAAAAAAGGACTATAGTAATGTAACAGTTTTAACAGGAAATGTGCATAACTATGATTCTCCTAATTATTCTGTTTGATGGAAACATGTAATATTAATAAGTTAATGTGTCCATGATTTTGATAAAAAATACTTACCATTGCAGTATTCCTGCAAATTAGCAACTGCAACTTCTAATCCTCTGCTAGCTGTTGCATTTCCCATAGCTGATGGGACAGGTATTCCATGTCTTCCAATATCTTCTTCAGCAAATGACCCTGACAATTAACAGTATTAGCATAGAATTGACATAATTTTGTTACAGCATTACAGAAATTAAAAAAACATCTCAATTCTTACGTAATTTCTGGGCAATCGAAGCAGCCTCGGCAACACGACTGTCATCAGAAAAAAGAGGTGAAAGCTCCATGAGATCACCTGGGCTGCTATTGAACTCCATTAAATACTGCAGAAAATAACCATCCATTGGTAAAATTTCCCAGAATGAATAATGGTAAAACCAAATGAACCTACTGATATTACCTTTATCAGCTCAATTGTTTGACTGGCAGTTTCTCGCTGAGAATCTGCACTCTGAAATAATTAAACAGTATTGGAAATGAGATTATATTTCAAAGACATAGGAGGAATTGACCTACTATAAAACATAATAATACAAACAATCCATCAAACATAGTTGGACCATGGAAGAATACTCTACCTGAAGATGATCACCTATCTTTGCAGCTGTCTGGCCAACACTTGAAATTCGCGAATCTAACCTCGCAAAGCTATCAAACAATCCATCCACACCTTTCTCTAGCTGAAAAGGAAATAAAAACAAATGCACAAAAATTAAACATATGATTCCAACTCAAACTTCCCCCAACAAATCATTCCGGCCTAGTTAGATAGGAAGGTATAAAAGATTCTCATTCTCCAAATAAATACAAAATAATAAAGCACCAAAGGAGGTGGTCAGAACTACCTAATGTAATTTTTAAAAGAAAGAATCACTAGGGTCAGGGTAATATATACCCCCACCACCCACCCCCCCACCCCCCCCCCCCAACATTTGGAACAGAAAATTATTGCAATTTATTTTGGTTTGAGACCATGTTTCGTTTTTACTGGAGACATTGATTTCTGCTTAGGTGAGATAGGACTACTATGAGCAACAAAGTTCTTCCTCCAAATATTTAATGCAACCAAAATATCTTAGGCTCAAACTCTAGAATACTAATTAAGCAAAAAGAAACCAAGAGATTCGAGAGTAACCTCAAAAAGTGTCTTTCGATGCTTAGAGTCTTGAACTGAAACATCTTTCTTAAGATTGTAGAGTGTCCCATCAATCTTCCAACCAAAACACAACAACAATAAAATCAAGAGCTCGAACAAATAAAATTCCCAAAATAATGGAAAAAAAAAAGCAACTAATCGGTAGATGAAGGCAAACCTGTTTACGAAGCTCAAGCAGCTCCTTGCAAGAATCCTTGAACAACGACAAGAGCTTCTCAACCTCGGGGAACAACGGACTCACAATGACCTGGGAGGAATACTTGGACATGTCGGAAGGCGCTCGGAGATGCCCGCTCTGCATGCTATCGCCGCCTTCCGTTTCCGCATCCTCCAATTTGAACGACGGAAGAAGCTCGCTGACGAGGTTCCCGAACAACGCGTCAAACGAGAAGTCTCCCTGACACAGAAACAGAAACAACAAGATCAACAACACGTTCCTTTAATCGAAACCGGATTTCTCTTTAAGCTGGAGGAAAATAAATCATTACTCGAATTAGCGAACGTACCTTGAAATCGTCGATGTCGAGAATGAGAGGGAAGGAGGTAGCCGACGATGCGGATTTGGAGGGCTTGCTGGCTCCATCTCTAGGCTCTCTCATGACGGAGGAAGTGGTGCGAGTCAATGTGCTTCGATTTGTGGAAACTATGAGAGAGGATTGGGAATTGCGATTGCGATCTTCTTCTTCGGTTGTATCGTTATGTTATGGTGTTGGTTTGTTTGTAAGTGTAACTGGAAAAAGTGAAAACTCTGGGTAGAGGGACACGTTGGAGTGGATGGATCGATGATGAAGCAGCGACAACGAACACGGTGGAAGGAGGCTGGAAAGAATATCGCAACGGCAGAAAAATGATAAAAAATAAAATTCTACTATTTTAATCCAGTATTCAATTATTGAATGTTTAAAATTCTACTATTTTTTTATAATAATAATAATATCAATATATTGATGATAATGGCATTTTATTTTGCACAAATATTTATTATATTTAATTCAAAATTATGATAAATTAATATTTTTGAATATATAAACTACATTTTAATTTTATGATAATCATCCATTTGAGTTATGCTATAAGACTAAATTTCTTATATTCTACATATTTTTACCTCGCCTCTTGTTTATCCTGCAATGGTTACATTTTCGGAAAGTTAATCCAAATTTATTCAGACATGAAAAAAAAAAAGACTGTTGGAATGAAATTCGAAAGTGCAAACCAATCAATGAAAAGAATTGTTAATGCTCAAATTCATTAGACATTATTTGGATTTTTTCTGTTTAACGAACCTGCCAATGGTTCAAATGGTTTAGCAGGATGCGAAGGTTTGTTGCAACTTTTGTTTTTTTGCATCATAGCTTTTGGGCATTATACACAAGCTACGCGTAGCTTAAAGTAAATGGTACCAAAAATTTAAGGTGATTTTCTTTACAAGACAAGGAATGCTCTACGAAACACCCTTCATCCTTTTCTTGTGAACCAAAATTCGAAGTATGACTATTCATGAAAGTGAGGGTGAAAGGAAATGCATTTTCAAATACAATTCTAACATGCTCTCCATATATCGGCAGCGAATACTAAGATGGTATGAGATTCTGTTCACAGAAAAAAGGAACAGTGTAGCAGATATCATGCTTCACGATTTTTTCCTTTTGGTTCCAAACCCATCTATCTATAAAAGCAAATAATATTATAGTTTCTGCGTCATTGATTTAATTTGTCGTGAATTGTTGATAAAACGAGTCATTAATGCATAACCAATCATGCTGATAGACAAATTGGATGTGATTTTTATGTCTTTTAGTTCTTATTTCCACTATTTTGGACTTTATAACGTGATCATCCACTTTACCAAAACATTTCCAAACACACTTACATGAGATTTTGAGGAAAAATTTACTTTCTTTACTAATAAAATTATGAGGAAAAATGGACTATCAGCACTAATGTTCAATATCTGTCACGTTTGAGTAACTTGTTTTTAATTTAATAAGTTTCACAGATAAACTTATCAAACTAAATATTTTCAACTTGCATCAGCTACCCTCATAATTCAACTTCTGAGTAAGTTCTTTTCAATAAATTTAGCTAAATAAACACTCAATTAAATTGTTTACTAGAATACATCTTTCCTGCAAAATTAGCTAATTTTAGTTTTCCTTTGAGGCTTGTGTTCATCCCTAAATTGCAAGATAGAGGGCAGAAAGAAAAGCATAGAAAAGAAACAAATTTAAAGTATATCACTATATCAGATAATTGAACAAGCTTGACTAACAACATTGTAAACTACTAAGTAAACTGCATTACACATTGGGAATTGATCACCAACAGTTTATCTATTAATTTATAAGAACAAGGAAAACTAAAACAACAAATAAAAGAGTGCTAGTTCTGATACTGTTATTGCACTGCATGCAACTGTATGAGTTACTTGTTTTGAGTTGGATTTGAATTGCTTGGGGGAATTGCTCGGAAACATGACTCCACCTGCTTTGCAAGATCTTTTCCATGGCCCCGCAAATCTTTCAGAGCTTGGTGAGAAGATGACCTCACTCTGAGTGGCAAAGAGTTAACCTCAGCTTTGGCCTCTGATGATGACAGCAGCAACAGTGTGAAAGCAAGAGCTGCTAGTACCAAGGACCAGCCCTTCATTGTAGTTGAGGATCGTGGTTCAAACCAATGAGCTTCAAGTGAGTCAGTGTTCATCTATTCTTCTTTCTTGTACAGTTTGGAAATGAAATGGTAAAAATCTGAAACTTGGGATTTGATGCCATTGGGATCACGTGCTGTAACTGATGTGTGTTGTACTGTCCTAGCCTTGGGATTTGGTGAAAAACAGAAAAAAGGGGACAGAAAGTTCAGAGAGATCATGTGATCAGCCACGTGGTGATAATGTGTATTTACAGAACTATTTAGTGTATATTCGGCTCCACTATGACACAAATAAAGTCAAATTTTCACCCATAAAGAGTTGTGGTTCCTTCACAATGAAAATATGATTGACTTTATAACCAAACATTCTATCAAAAACTTTCACTTCTTAGCTAAAAGGGTTGGTCCAGAATGATTTATATCAAACAAAAATGAGTTTTAAATCAGTTTTTGATTAAACACTTTTTTAGTCTATAAAACCTACTTTGATTTTGATGAGTCTCCAAACTCAACTCAGAAACTTTTAATGATCCAAACTTCCTTTCGAAGGTGATATTCATGATAGGATTTAACCAAACATTTTAGGCAACAGCTAAAGTGAATCTTGGATGTTCACACCTGGTTCCTTCCTTGTTGGGTCATACTTGACACACGCTCAGTGAAAAAACATGACTTGCATCAGTCCCAGAAAGGTGCAATAGAAGTTATTAGGTGCTGCAATTATTGAGATGGTATTTAAGCATATACTGTAATAAAGCTTGCATCAGAAGCATTCTTAAGCTTTACTTTGAGGTTTAGTTTTTCTAAGGAAGTCATAGTAGCTTTTGCAGCTGTTTGCCACCTAATTTGTTCAATTTAAGCAGACAGAAAGATGCAAGACTAAAGTTGCTTATTTTTTGCCTAGTCATCACCATGAAAGTTGAAAACCGAAAAGAGCCAAAAGGGAACACGAGATTTAAGTTATTAGTAAAGGGGGATAAGAAAACTAGCCATATAAATATTAATAGGATTGCACAATGACACATTTTCTGGCGCACGTCTTTGGTTCATGTTGCTTGTCTGAATCAAGTGGGATATTCAATTTTAATCTGCACTTTTGTTTTCATGTTCTATAGATTAAAACGCTTGTTTTCAAAAGGGTGACTCAAGAACTAGAGAACTAGTTAATTTTTGTTTGTTTCTTTGTTGTTGTTGTTCATTGTTGGATCATATTCTAGAACCTCTTTAAGAAATTCACATACTCTTGAATTAAAATATCTGACTCGCGTAGAACTTGGAAATCATCAGGGTGTTGTCACAATCACGAATGCAGAAATAATGGACGAAGTACTTCATATATAGCCTTCTCCATTTTTGTATTTTTATAATACTGTACTTTTTATGATAATTTCATTTCGTTTCTTTCCACATGACATGGTCTCTGTTGTGACAAATAGCAACTTGCGCATCCCATTAGGAAAAAATGGTTTATATATTATATATCATGTATAAAATTCGTTAAACTAACGATGAAATTATATCTATGCATACCATTTTCACAAAAGAAAGTAACATTTGTGAGGTGAATTGGTGTTTGGTGGAGGATCGCGTGGAAAATTCGGTTCAACTCACAAATGGTTGAAACTTGAAATATTCTATTTAATGCGTCACGTGAGGTGGTAAATTGTATCATTGTCATTCTTGGGTATTTCACCCTTTTTTCCTGGAAGAAGTTACAAAATTTGGTAGTAGGAATTAAGTAGAAATAAAGAATTATTTACTATTATTTATATATATATATATATATATATATTGGATAATATTATAGTTATAATTAAAAAGTGATGTCCATAATATTAATCAAAATATAAAACAAGTACTAAATTTAGTATTTAAACTGTATTTATTCTTATGTTATTCTCTTAGAAACTCAAATAAATTTCATTTAAATATTTATTTTCATTTCGATGATATCTTTTTCATGAAAGCGTAATCTCAGCCGTTCACCGTCCACCCAAAAATGTTCACCAAAAAGAGATCTGAGCCAGAGTCAAATGCTGGTGGTACCACAAATCTAACGGTTAATAAATTTCAATTAATGTACAGGATGGAACTACGAAAAGACCCTCGTGCGTGGGGTGACATGAAGTCGGTAACCAGGGATAAAATAGTCAATTCAGAGGAAGTTCAATCTGAAAAAATGTGACTGGGAAAGTGTTGTATAACACTCGATCCAGTACAGCAATAATATAACCATGGAAACGCAGCTTAACGTTCTCTCTCTCTGGACTCTGGTGTAAACGCCGTCGTTTTTGGGACTCTGTTCCTTCGCTTCTCTGTCTCCGTAACCGAAAGGGGGGAAAATAATTAAACGCCGATTTCGCAATTAATTCTTCTGCGTCGAATTGAGATAACCAGAATTGGATCTCAGGTCAATTTCTCCACCTCTTTCTCTTGATGCCGACTTAAACGAATTAATCAATACCCTTTTTTTTCATTTTTCCGTTGTTTAATTTGCACTTATCAATTTCTTATGTATATTTTTTTATCGATTTCTTAATTATATTTTTCATCGTGGGGTTTGATCGAGGTTTGTTCTTTATCATTTGATTATGTTGTTTTTATTTATTTATTTATGTGTGTCATTCTTGATCTTAGAATTCGTGGTGGAAAACAATGGAAACAATGGGAAATGCATCACCCGAAGAATCAATTTAGGGTTGCGTGGATCGTGTGTGTGTGGGTAGGATTAGTTCAGTGGCATGGCGTTGAAGTTCTGGAATCGCAGGGGCGTAATATTGAAATGGGGGAATTTTAGGGATATGCTGTAATACAGGAGAGATATACTTTTAAGAACAGATTCGTGAGATATTGGTGGTAGCGTAATTTTAAAAGTATTCCTTAAAATTCTTGCCCTAAGTGTACAGGGGTAATGTTTTGCTGTGTGAATTTGATACTGTTTTATGTCTCCGTCGGTTTATAGCCTGTAGGCTTGTGAATTGAGATAATTCAAACATTTGAAGGCAGTAGATGTTTGTGTTCTGGGGTAATGTTTTGGTGTGTGAATGTGATACTGTTGTGTCTCTGTCGGTTTATAGCCTATAGGCTTGTGAATTGAGATAATTCAAACATTTTATGGCCGTTGATGTCTGTGTTCTGGCTTTTATATAGTTTTTCTAGAGAGAGAAAGTTGTCATTGTTCTGGCTCTTAGATGGAATTTCTTTCCTCCTTTTGTTATCGCTCCTATTGAATCCTTAGATATACAAAGTTAGTCAATATGATGAATCAGTATACGAATGAGCCGGCTTATAGTGGTATGTTGAATTCTGTTTAATGAGAGTTCAATGATTGGCTTAGCCACTATTATCATGTCGTGGCACTTATGAATAGTTTTATGCAAATTCCACGATGGTTTGATCGTTGAAATAAAACGATGACAGTTTACGGTGTTTGTATATTTTTCAGTTTCTGCACTTGTGTTTGTGAGTACACACGCATGAATGTGTGTCTCCATCACCTATTGTTTACATCAACTCTACTTCTTTTTGTCTTGTAGCAATTTTTTTTTCTCACTGCGTCTATTTTTGTTTACTTTCTTTATTATATACTCAATCTATTGATTTTTATTTCTCTTGATCAGTTTTTGCAGGAAACAAAAATTGCATTTGAGTATAAAATAACAGAGTTTAGCGCAGGGCCTTGTTCTTGATACCGTGCTAAATTTGTTGGATGGCGGAAAAATCATGCATCAAGCGCCTTCAGAAGGAATATAGAGCCCTTTGTAAAGTACGTACAACATCTTTGGTCATTTAAAATTGTGCCTTTACTATTTTGTTTTGTTCATAGTATCCATGCTTACCTATTCTATTGGTGGAGCCATATAGTTATGCTTGTTCTGTTATCTCACTGCTTCTTCTCCTGTCTCGTTTTTCCTTGGTTTTGTGCATATTTCTCAAATTGGTAATTTGATGTCCTGGCTGGTAAACTTGTAGAGCTTCCGAGACAGGCAACACAACACACCATCCTGTATATTTTGCATTTTGCCTCTTTATATGATGTGTTAGCGGTTTCTGATTAATTTTTACATGATTGGTTAATCTAAAATGCATAATTTACTGTGGTGCATTGTTTGGGTCAGTATCAATCAGTGACATGGAATTTCCTTTTTTTTGTAATAAAAAGATAAATAAATGATGGTATTTGAAGAATATGTCAACTGTATAATGCTTAACCTTAAATTGTATTTGCAGGAGCCAGTTTCTCATGTTGTGGCTCGTCCTTCCCCGAGTGATATTCTTGAGTGGCGTAAGTTTCTTTCACACTGTTAAAGTTCTTACATTAATTTATGTTGAACACTAATGTTCAAAAGAAGGAAAAAAAATTATGAACTTTTGACATACATATATATATGTTTTTGGACCTATTTTGGATGAGTTTTTACTTATTGAAAAAATAACAAGCAAGAAATGAAGTATGTTTCATCTATAATCTAAAAATAACTTGTGCATAAGTTAAATTATCTTTTTTCAGAATCTACTTTTAGTTTATGAGAGGAATTTATTTCATTTTTTCTTATTTTATTCTTCTTTAAGTGCTTATAGTGACTTCTCTATATGCTAATATCCATGTTGTAGAACCTTCGCCAATGTCAGCAATTTTATTTTAAGTTGTTTGTCATGGAGTGGCTGTTACTTGATACTGACCTTATTGTATGCCAATGTATCAGATTATGTGTTGGAGGGAAGTGAAGGAACACCTTTTGCAGGTTTAGCAAATTGTGATTATTGCATATTGACCATTATACTATGTGCTTTGTTATTCGGAAATGTCTCAGTTTAAGTAATCAAATCTAAATTTATATAGTATTTATGTCCTTTTGGCAATTTTAGGTGGATATTACTATGGAAAAATCAAGTTCCCTCCTGAATATCCGTATAAACCTCCTGGAATCAGGTTATCCTTCTTGCTGTAGTATGCTTATTCATTCTATTTTTCATTTATCTGTTTCAATTTTGACCAAGTTACTACCTTCTGTAATGTAGCATGACTACACCTAATGGACGGTTCATGACACAAAAAAAGATCTGTTTGTCTATGAGTGACTGTAAGTTCTTTTGGGCAGTAGATGTTAGAGCACAAAACAAATAATATGGAGTAACCCATATAACAATTTTATATTCCTTTGGGATTTGTTGCTTTTGCAGTTCATCCAGAAAGTTGGAATCCCATGTGGTCTGTATCAAGGTCAGAAAGTTCTAGTTATGAAGAAGTTCTTTTATATGCTTTACCATGTTTTGTTTCTGATTTATCCTTTGACTTTTGAAAACGTGTTTATATGTTCTTTTGCATGCGTAATTGATATTTGTGAATAACGGTAGATGTTAATTATTACTTACCTAATGGCTTTATACTGATGTTTTCAATTTATGAATGCAGCATATTAACAGGGCTCCTTTCATTCATGGTATGTTGTGGTTTCCTCATATTGTAATTAAACATTAGTTTCTTCCATTCCCGGTGGCTGTTCTTTGCTCTGAAGACATTTCGCTCTTTGTATTTCTTATTGTCTGAGCTTTCTAAGTGGATGTCGGACTGGTGGGTGGGGCTAGAATTAAACCCGTGACCCTCAACATTGCCATGGACTTTTTCTACCACTGATGAAACTCGTCTTTGTTGTATAAGTTTATAGCATAAAAGACCTAACACAATTTTCCAACTTTGCAAGTGCTAGCTGTTGATAGTGATAGCTAAATTAGGAGACTCCTATGTTTACCCTGTGCCAGTTGATACTTCACCATGTTGTGCTTTCGATATCTGACAGGCTTGTGTTTTGCAGATGGACAACAGTCCAACCACTGGTAGTGTAAACACCACCACAGCTGAGAAGCAGCGTCTAGCAAAATCTTCCCTTTGTTTCAACTGTAAGAAGTAAGTATTTTGCACAAGCTACTCATATGGAACTCAAGATGGAAGTTAGCAAGGTCTCTGTAATTTGTATTTCACTACTAATATCTGTTGTTTTCATAATTCAGCGCAACATTCAGGAAGATGTTCCCTGAGTATGTTGAGAAGTACAACCAGCAACAACTTTCTGAACAGGCTGCTCAAGAGCGGGTTTCATCAGAGGCGTCTCCTGACAAGAGTTCAAAGCCAGTTTTGGAGAACAAATTGGAATCCACAGGAGAAGACGTGAGAAGAGTAGATGGGTTGAAGGATATGAGAAAAAACAGAAAACCATTTCCTACATGGATGATGTTATTACTCTTCTCCATCTTTGGGGTTGTAATGGCGTTACCACTGCTTCAGCTGTGATGATAGGCAAAAAGTCTTAATAGGAGGTATAAGGGTCCACAAAGTGTTTTTCCTGAAACTGGTTCTATATGTTCTGCTTAGGTTGTCATGTCTAACAGAATCTGTATAGGGAAGTGATGGACATGGAGGCTGCGTTAATTATGTGCTGATTTTACTCCTTTATGTCTATTTTGCCAGCTTCTTGGTGGTGAATGCTAAGAAGTTACATGTTTGACACTTGTGATTTTCTTCTAAATGTTTTTGAGGTTTGTCTTGTACTGATGCTCACACTACGCATTCTGCTTGGGTACATTATGCTTTTAAAATGGGAAAATTATATCCGTTTTAACTGATGACATATGCAACAAAAATAAAACAAACGTATGCAATAAATTTTTTATCCCTTTAATGCCAATGCAAGTACAACGAGTGAAAAGTTAAAAATGGATTGTGCCCACTTTATGTGAAAAAATGTGGAATATTGGCATTTTTATTTCTCATTTCTGATTTTGGCCAACTTTAATAAACGGTTGTTTTCTTCTAAAAAAAATATGTTTTTGTTTATAAACATTTTACCACAGTAACATTTGAGTTGACCAATTTGTCCTCGTTTATATTCTAAAGGTAACCACTATATTTATTTTTATATTTCAACAAGATTTTTTGAAATATGTTCGCAGCGAAACTTTAAAATAAATAATTGAAAATGAGTATTTTTTTATTATTAATATATTTTATCATAATATTAATTTTAAATATTCATTATTACAATTATTGAAATAAAAAAATAAAATATAAAAATGATTTATGGGATTGTTTTACTGACGAAGAGTTTTTTTTATTGTGACATTTCTCACGTTAGAATATTGTTGTGAACGAAGTATTTATTTTATACACACTCTTCCCTAATTAGTATTTTGAAGATAATATATACCTTAACAAATCATTAATCATATCAACCTTTACCAAAAATAAAATACCGTCACTAAGAGATTACTATAATTATAAAATAATGAATATTATTAAATAGGATTTTGATAAATAGAAAGAATATTAACAAATAAGCAATGCACTTTTTAATTTTGAAAATGCGTTGCATACATTCTCCGAATTTGAGGAGACAGGTAGCATTGAGGAAAAAAAGAGTGGGGTCAGGTCAAGGTGCATTCAGCATGCACCTTCCCAAATATGCGCCGTAATTGACGCACACACACCCCTCCTTCACGTCAATATGGGACTCCTTCTCACATCATTTCTTTTCTTATTTTTCAAATTCTTTAAACGTTCTTAATATTTACTAGCATTTTAATACTTTTTATACATTAATTTGATCAAATTAGAAAAAAAATGCTTAATCAACCTGAACAAAAAAATTTAATAAAAGTCAGTTTTAAAAAAAGAGAAATAAAGATGATGAACGAATTGAGAGATTGGAAAAATTAGGTGTAATTAATTAATTCAACAACCTCACTATTTATAAAATTCTTTTCACTTTCTTTTTAACCAGACAGTAAAAATTGTTTTTATTTTCGTAGTATTAGTTATAGTCTTCTAGAAAGAATCAATTTGAGTGAAGAATGAGATTTTTCTTTTAAAAGGGAAAGACAAAGTGAAATGTAGTGATTAACCATGGTCCCAGGTGAGGAAAGAAATGGCTGTCATAATAATTAATGATATTTACCCACTTTTCGGTCACGATATTTGGATCCTCTGTTACTTAAAAAAACTGCACATTTTCTTTAATTGCTTCCATTGTTTTTACTTTTACCTTCAAACTGAGGTTTTATTTTTTGCATATTTAGTCAAGTGTAGGATAAATCTCAAGTACGTGGAGATTCCATTTTTCGTATCTAAAATATTGATTAAAGAAACTCCAAATACCAAATCAAACACATATTTATAAGACTATAATAGATTTTATTTACCAGTCTTTTCTTTTCAATTTAAAATTCTACCATTTTCTCATTGGCATTATTAGCCTAGCAATTTTGTCTGGTGTTTAGTCTGAATTTGATGTACTATGCTATATAAGATAATTCCTTCTCATATTAATGCACCTTCTAATTTACGCCAATGCTTCCTATATGAGAAAAATGTGAATGATAAGCCTAAAACTGCAATGCCATTTCAACCACCACAGTTACTGTCATCTCCATAACTGGCCCTGTGACTTTGATATTTTTATTGGGAGTTGTTGAACTTTTCCTTTGGTGATTCAAGTTAGTAAATTCCCCCATGTGAACTAATTTGATGTAAAAGTTAGAAGCTATTATTTTCCATTTGAAGGGGTTTTCACAATGAGGCACTATTCTTGTACGTGGGATGAGTTATCTAGTCTATTTGGATAATCCTTGAGAACCTCATTCTTTTCCTTCTCTTGGGGTCTTCAGCTTTTCACTTTGTTCATCTCAAGTTTATGGTTTTTGTTGGAAGTCATGAAATCTCCATCACAACCAACATATGATGAATTTCATTTCGATGACTATGGATTTGATCTGCAACATGACTTTTGCCAGGTATTAGGTTCTTGATTGTTGGTTCTTAATTTTAACACAAATGTTGCTCTCCGTTAACCTGTTAACAAAGTTCTCATGTCAATGTGATAATGTGAGAAAAGATTTCAACAAACATTGTACGATGCTGATGTAGCATTGAGATGGTTTTCATTTTTATTTGATCTTGTACGTTATGTTATGGTTTTTTGTGGGTTTGACTAGTTCTTGGAGGAAGCAAAGCAGCATGGAAAGGAAGCAAAACTAAAGAGTTCATCAGTGTGCCCGGAAGACTCTAGGAATGCAGGATCGGAGAAAGAGAAAAAGGGGAAGAAGAAGTCATGGAAAAGTTCTCTGACTTCATGGTGGAAATCTGATAAGAAGAGCAAGCATAGTGAAAAAACCACCAACGATTCTAAATCAAAGGGTGGTTCTGGTAAAAGACATGGTCATTCTTCTGGTCCAATGTACAGGTCCAGCAAAAGTTCTGATGGGAAACATTGGCGTCCTTCATCTGGTCCTCTTGTAAACCTTTTCAAACCCACAAAGAGGGAGGAAAATGAGATACCCTATATTTCTCTCCAACATCAAAATAATAGCCCTCCTGCTGATCAGAACTATGGACCCCTTTATGTGGTCACTTGACTTGTGTATCACTTCTAGAGTTGCAGAATGTGGTGACTCAAGCTTCACTGAGAAACGTCCTCTAATTTGTATTGGTTGTCGATAGAATTTTGCCGGCCAATGTAGTAGAACCACAACACTGTGAGAAAGAAGAAGTTTATGTTTTTGGTTTTGAATAAGTTGTATTTGCTCCTTGTTGGATTTGATAGAGGACAAACATAGTTCAAAATAAGTAATCTTTGTTCCTTGTTCTGAGAAACTCCTTCTGTTTCCAATTTTTAATTTTCATAACATTTGTATGTACTGATATTAGATTGCTGAAACCATGAGAATATTAGATTGCTGATATTAGATAGCACAGCAGTTGCAAAAAGGCCCTTCGTAGACAGGTTTCAGTTAAATGTAAGGATGTTGGTTTTATCTTGCTTAATCAGGAAAACAAAGTATAATATGCATAGTCCTTTGATTCTCTACCTGCCCAATTTCCTGTCAAATTTGAAAAAACTCTCTTAACTAACATAGCTTTTTCCTATCCTTTTCTACCTTATTTTGTTTTATGTTCTTAGTCAATGTTCCATTATCTCCTCCTAGACATTCTCTTTTTCAAAGAAGCTGTTTCATGCTAGCATGTAGGTGGAAGAGGGATTTCTTACCTGCTAAGGTCTTTCTAGTTCAGAAGTCATTAGGTAACAGTGAAAACACAAAATCAGACAACAGCTTTGACAAAAAGCATATTTGGGTGCAAAAGGCTACAAAGTCTATGCTTTCAAGGCTTTTCTGTTACATGTGAGATAAAAAGATAAACTCTACTATCAAGTAGGAGAGAAATGAAGTGAGAAAATGAATAATAGAATAAGATAATATTAAATTAGTAAAATGAAAATTGTAAGAAAAGAATAACATGTAAAAATCACACAACCTTCAAGCCCCCAAATGTCATTCCTTTCCCCAAGATTCAAGCCACTAAACTAGTGATGTGTATGATTCCATGAACTAGTTGAAGGGTGCCAAAAAATGTGGATGACAAAGGAAAATGGCCTAAAGGGATGGACAATAAGTTAAGAGGTAAAAAGTAGAAAAGCATTGATAAAAAGTAAAAAAGCATTGTCCATGCCATGGGATGCGTGAAAAGGAAAGCATGATTGAGAAAATTTTGGATTTGTGCCTGCCACTATCTAGGCAACCAAACTAAGCAGAATATTTGTCAAGAAAACTTGTTTGTCGGGTTTGGATGGCTTGAGCAGGGGGCTATCTAAACAACCGAGATTGAACTACTACCTTAAACAATAGCTTATCTGCTATATTGAGAGTGAAATGCCTAATGATTTATTGATTTTTCAATACATGACCTTTAACTGCTAATTTCCCAATATAAGAAATATGAAACTTCCTTTCTCCTTGAAAAAAGTGTTACATGTCATCTGAAGATTGCTTGAGACTACAAACTTGATGATCTTGAATTATACAGTATTTTATTCTTTCTTTATCCCTTCTTTTTTTGCCTCCTTTTGGCGGTAATATGTAAACTAATGCTTATTTTTTTTATCTCCTTTTGGTACTAAGATATAGATTAATGTATACTTTATCGAATCTTGATCGTAGTTAGGAGCACAATCAACATCATATCCAGCTATCGATAGTGTTATGAGTAGCAAACATGCTTTTTTCAAATTATGTTATCAAACCAGTGCTGTGAGCCTCTGCTATACCCATCAATCGCATTCTTATTAACATTGATCACATCTGAAAATAAGAAAAAAAAAAAACACATCTTATTTCATCCTTTTTCATTGTATTTCATTCACCATTTTATATTTAAGATATAGATTAGATTAGATCAGGTTAATTGCGAGTAAGGATCAAAATTAAGACAATAATACTATAAAATTCATCTTGTCTAAAAGAACTGGGTCACACCACCCTTTCACTGCAAAGAAACTTGTCGTTTATACAATATAAACACATTTGACAGTTGGCTTAATGTGCTTCAAATTTCAAGCACAGATATTAAAAAAGAAGGAAAAATGTATGAAAAGATACAGTAAAGCAACCATCCTTAGCCATTTATGTGCACAAGTATTGGAAAGGAAGTGGCATAACAATAACTCTTCGAGAGCTATATTTCATGAAGAACTCTTCTAAAAATAATAATTAATGAATTCCAACCACAAATTTCTAGCTTTGTGCTTGTTCCACATCTACAGAACTTGGAGTGCAAGGACTTAACTTTTTGTCCCTGCTCAAAAGCCTCTTAAATGACCTCAATGTGGCAGCCATTGGTGATTTCACCTCGTCTTCAGCACACCTACTTCCAGAAGGGGATAAAGAGGAAGAAGTGCACTCACTTGGAATATCAATCACCAACATTCCATGACACCTACCATTAACATTACAACCATCGGAAGAAGAAGATGGTGTAAAAGATGGAGAACAGGGTGGCTGCTGAGAACTCCCTTCTTCTTCATCTTCCAAGGAAACCCCAAAAGATCTAACTTGTGTCTGGTTCCCCCAAACCAACACATTTGTGGGAAAAATTGAAGACTCCAAGCCGCTCACAGCACCTGAATTCTCTTCATGGGATGATGATGATGACTCCATGTTCCCTGAGAAATTATTCTCTTCACTTTTTTTAGAGGATTCATAAGCAACCGGGTTCCTACAAAGAGGACAAGTAGAGTGTGAATGGAACCACATGTCAATGCAATCCACATGAAATCCATGATTACATTTGGGCAAAAGCCTGGCCTTTTCCCCTTGAACAATCTCAGAGAGACAAACTGCACACTCCAAACCTTCTTTGAAGTCCTCATGTTGGAACACCAACACTGGCAAGGACTTTAAAACTGAAGGGTCAAGTCCAACTTGGTGAGTCTCATAGATCACCGGTTCTTGCCCCGGGGTGAAGACAAACCGGCGGCGCCTCCGACGCCGCTGGCGAGGCTGAGGAGCGGCGTTCTCCTCCAGGCTCCACCAGAACCATCTTGCATATAGATGAAGCACAAGAACAAACACAACCACCATGAAAAGGAATATTATAGCCACCACCATAATCTTCCCAGTTATCTCAATTGTGCCAGATTCAACCAATGCGTTGTCACTAGACACCGAGGCTGCACTAATTGGACCCATGTTTAAAAAACGAAACTTTCTGATTCAGTTGAAGCTTTAAACACTCCCCAGAAACCAAAAGTCTGAAAATCCTGAGTTTTGCAGGGATAGTGAAAAGGTTGATGCTTTTGTATAGTTTGAGAATCGGAATGGGAATGGCAAATGAGAGTGAAGAGGGAAGGAAAAGTTGAAAGATGGGTTTAGCACTTTGGCTTGTGAATGGGGTCTGGAACAATAAGAAGTGAGGTAGATGCAGGGAATAAGAAGAAGAGGGATTAGCCTCCACTTTGGGCTACAAGACTTGGACTTTGAAACAAAGGAGCGAAGAAGAAGAGGAAGGTGGTGGATTTGGAGTCAAGAGTCAATGACTCAATTGCTGACAAAATTAAAAATTATTTTAATTTACTTGATTCAACAATAAAATGAAAAGAAGGATTCAAAATTGTGGTTTTATACAACTACTTCTATCCTAGACAAGTCGTAGGATCTTTCTTTGTTTGAAACCATTAGCTTTACCTTTTATTTATTGTCAGAAAGACTTTCGAAATTATAAAGATACCTTCTTTGCTTTCCTCTTTGACCATTCTATTGAATTTAATTTACCCACTAAACACTCAGATTCACAGGTTTAACGTCAGAAATGGGCCAAAAACAACTACAATGATAAATTTGCAAAATAAAATTCTACCCTAAAAGTATAGAATAATTATCATTCTTTTTTAACACATTAATTTCTTCAAACTATTAAATTATAAATTCGAAATCATACATTTTTTTTAAAATGTTTAAAATATCATTATATTCTTATAAAATCTTTTAAAATTCATATGATTTTTTTTGTTTTTTTTTAAAAGTTGTTTATAATCCCATACAGAGCCTAAAATTATAAACTGTTTGTTATAAAGGTTCACGAAGAAGTTGAAATATACATAGCAAAATATATTTTAATCCTAAGATATATTTGTAAAAATTTTATAATCAATTAAACCAATTAATTGAGTAAATTAATGTTGATTGAGATAGGTTTAAATGGATCCTATTAAAAAATTGGATAGGATAAAGACACAATTTAAACCGGTCCTAATCTGTTGCATAAACACCCCTAAAATAATGTTTAATTGAATAATTACAAAGAAAAAAACTAACCCTAATGTTATGTATAACTTTGTTTGAAAATGAAATTCGAACCAACTCATCCATCTAGCACAAAAATCATAGGTAGATCGGAAATTTCGCAGAACATTTTGTATTACTCACAAGCAAGTTGTTGTTATTCCACTCTGTGTAGAATTTTAAGCTACACTTTACCTAATTATTGACCTTTAAACTTTAAAAATTGACCCAAGTTTTGGACAGTATTAAAGTTTGAAGTTTTATATAATTAAGAACTTATGACTGTTGTCGTACGAAACGGGACGAACATATTCAGAAATTTCACTTTAAAAATACATTTTTTATACCAAAATTTTATATAATTAACCTACTAACATTATACCTTTGATGATAACATATCATTACAAGTTTTAAATTTTATTAAATTTACGTAGAATAGAAACCCTTTCCCCTAATTTTTACCTTTTTTTTCTTAAATTTTATTTTTTCGTGTTTCGAAATCAATCTATTTTCTTTCAATTTCATTTTCAATTACAAATTTTATAATATACTTATTAATTATCTAAGGGTTTAACTTCTTATAAATTTAGGTCCATTTTTTTTTTAAGTTCATTAATTTACATTTAATAACTTAATTATTACCAAATAAATTTTCAAATTAAGAAAGACTTTAAAGATACTTAAGTGGTATCTTAAAAAGGAATCTATATATTGAAAACAAGTTTAAAATGAATCTTAAATTTAAAAATAATTAAACTTTATCATTGTGAAACTTAAAGTATTGAGCTAATTACAGACAATATAATGAAAGAAGATTTTGTTAATTTTAATTAATTATTAGCAATATCAAAGAAGGATTTAGCTACCAATTGGATCATTGATATTATTAATTACCCTTGATTAGTCATTATGTGAAAATTACAAATTACTCAAGAACTGTAGAGATCATAAATATGAAAACAATAATAAATGCATGCATGGATTATGGATTATGATTTAGCATTATCATGCTAATAATGTTGATGAAACATCTCTCAAAAAAGTTTATCATTTTATATATATAATCAGATCTTACCAAAAATTTTGCAGTAAAACTATGATGATTTAGGTTATAATGAGGCAAATGGTTAATGGGTAGAAATATTGAATGCAGAATTTTTTTTTAATATGCATTAACATTCTTAATTAAGATCACACCATGGGGTTAATTATCATATGATGATCATATTTAATTATTTTATACTGTTTGAACATGCAACTTCAGAAAAACTCAATAATTGGTTCACTCATACAAATATATGGGAGCTTAGGTGCTTCATACAACTTAATTGAAATTAACAATTTTGTTTTATATTTTTCATCGCCTTAACTAAATTTGCAAAGTTTTATTCACAATATATTTTTTTCAATTCATTGATATTTTGTAAATTTTAAAAAATTTAAATTATCATATTATAATAACTTCAAATACAAATCTTTTATAATATTTTTCAACTCTTTTATATTTTTAACATCTATTATTTTTATAAAAAAAATTTAAATATTTTGTTTGTAAATAAACTTAAATAAATTTATTTGTGAGAACACTATCGCAAGAATCAATAATTTTTCAAAGAGGACTCTTAAATAAATAAATAAATAAAAAGAATTTGACTTTTCAGTTTGAACTCTAGCTATCACACTTGAACTTTTCAGGGTTCTTGGCGTGTTCTTCACGTGCTTCAGAAGCATTTTTTCTTTGAAATTTAAGCATTTTTAGGAGTTGTGGCCACAATTAAATTAGATAATAATAAGCAGATAAACTCTATCATTAGAAACATAAAATCTATTCATTTAATTATTTGTTATTTTATTAACTTTAGAGATTAATTTGATTAATCGTCATAATTTTAGGATTAAATTAATTATCACAAATTACTTGTGCGGTAAAGACATAAAACTCCCAGCAAAATAATAATGTGTAATTAGGGTTTATGTTTGATCTTTTGAAATTGCTTTTTATGGAGTGAGACACAAGACATGAGTAGCATTATACCAGCAATTATAGCACTATTAATTAACGCGTTTTTAGGCCATGATTTGTGGCTTAAATGGGTCAAACAATAAAAAAATTCAAAGAAAAATACAAACCTATATATAATCATTATTCTTCCTCGTAATCACTATTTATGTTATCATTTGAACTTCTTTTAACGGTTTTTTTTTAAAACCTTAAAAAAAATAAAATCAATCACATAAATAATATATTTAAAAAAAAATTAAGTAAAACTTTTGTTATATTCGTGTGTCTTGTCCGCTAATTGTTAAGAAATATTTCAATTTATTTATTTATTCATTAAAAATTAACGGTTGAAATCAATTTAAACTTTTTTTTAATATTAGGAATAGAACATGTTATTATATCTTAAAAAAAACAATGATTATGAGCTACATCTTTAAAATTTTTATTATTTTTTACCATTATTATTTAGACATTTTTTTCGTATAAATTCATTTTTAATAATTTATTATTTCTCTTTATAATAAATATAATTAAAAAATAGAATATAGTTAATAAAAAAATACAACCTTAAATTATATATAAATAAAATAATTTTATCGACCATTTTTATAATATTAAGTATTTATAAAAAGTTAGTTATATTTTACAATTTTTCTTATAAAAAATTATATAAATTTATACGAAACTTATTTCTTGCCATTTTTATAAACAAAATTATAAAAATATTCATGAAATATGAAAGTTTCATAAAAAATTCACAAAAATTATTATCATTTTAAATTAAAATACTTATAGAATAAGAAAAATTTAAGCTACTTTTCTCGTTCTTCCAAGATATTTCATGTAAAGTAATGTAAAACTAATAAATATATCTTGATAAAAGTCAATGAAAGCGAATACTTTTTAGAGATAATTTATTTTTTTCTGTATTTCTTTTGTAAATTTTCTCTGATCATTTATCTGGTTGATAAAATTATTAAACATAATTTTAATCCATCTTTATACTTAAATATTTAATATTTAGTGATTTTCTTTTACTATCATAAAATTGATGAAAAGGTTAAATTTATATTTATTTTAAGTTAAGGAGTTAATTTATTAACTTTTTAAAATACATAGACAAATATCAATTAAAAAAATACAATAACCAACAAATATTTAACTAAATTGTAAAAAAAAAAACAATTTATAAAAATAAGATAGTTTTACAGTGTATTAAGTAGTGAGTCTTAACTAGATTGACTTGTCCATTGTAACATTTGTATGTAGAGACAACAATGTCTCTCCTATTTATGTCACATTTCAGACATTTGACTTCTTATTTTTAAAATAAGTAGATTATATAAATCCATAAAAAGAATCTGTTTATTTTATTAATAAAACGTTTTTTTTAAAACACAATCATTTTTGAAATTGAAATGATGCTGTATTAAACTTTGTCTTAAACAGATAAAGATGGTATTACTAATGCCAACCTTCTGAATTGCTTACATAAGCATCCACAACGTTGAGAAGGTAGATTACAGAGGATAAAGATTAAGAATTTAAGGGTAATGGCATTAGCATGAAAATGACTTCTAACCTTGTAGATTTGAAGAGACAGAATGATGTGAGGGGTACTCCTAATGGGAAATGTATAGCTATAACAGATATTTCTAAACCAGGAATAAGAATTGCATCTGAAAATAAGCTATGCAGAATTGTATAAATTTGGAACTTCCAAATCTGATTCTAACCAACTTTTGCACCAACCAAAATCTGTGGTGATGAAATCTTAGTTAGGCACAAAATGGTTCCACAGGGCCAAACAAGCAAAAGCTCAAAATATTAGCAATTGCATCAATGGTATAAATCCTGATTTACTATTCTGCATATTACATACATGATTGCAATACATACAACTCACAGTATCAAACTAGTACTGTGATCAAAGAGAAGTATTAATGAACCAAAGGGAAACTCTCAGTGATGCTAGATGGAAGTACCATGTAGAGGATAGCAACCAATAGATCTGAGAAACTCTGTATGAGATTAAACACAGACTCTCCTAAGGTCTTCACCTGTTTATGTTTTGGGGGGATATGATCAGTGATTTTGTTCCTACAAAGAGGGCATGTGGCATGGTTCTTCAGCCAAGCTCCAATACAATCAACATGGTACCTGTGGTTGCATACTGGAAGAGACCTAACTTTTTCCCCCTTACAAATTTGGCTCAGACACACAGAACAAAAATCACTTTCATGATCTTCATGATCCTTCCCTGCAACAGCATATCCAAAATGCTTGTAGATTTTGTGCAGCCTCTGGATCATGTAGCTTTGGAATGATTGAGCCACAAGAACAATGGCTGTGAGGAAGGTGTGAATGGTATTCATGTTGGCTTCTTGATGATTGAGTCGGGAGAAACCACAAGTTGGATTTAAATTGGTCTTTTCCTTTTATATGATATGTCAAGGAACCTTACCAAGAAAATTTTTGAAAAAGATTTTCCAATTTGATGGTTAGGCCTATGTTATTGCATCATATCTGACTAGATGTGACAAGAAACATGGAATTTTAAACGAGTCATTGTTATCATCTTTTGTTCTTTATGCAGGGAATAGATTGAGGTTTGAAGGGCTACTAAAATAAAATAGAAAGCTGACTTGGAGACTTGTCATCAAAATTAAACCAGAACTTATGACCACTCTAATGGTGTATTTAAAATATCAATTTTAAGTGAACAAGCCCTAAGAGACTGTGTGAACTCAACAACAAACTCTGACTTTTTGTTTTTAACAAGTAGCATCTTTAAAATAGTTTAAGAAATTTGATTTTCATGATAATTTTATCCTGAAATAAAAGTATCTTTTGTATCAAAAAATGCCACGTTAATATTCAATTTTTTGTAATTACTTATCTGCTTTTACATTTTTTTTTGTCCAAATTACATTGGCGATGTGTTTGGTTCACAATAATAGAAAAGTAGTTATAAGTCAAAAGCACTTAACAACTTGCCTTTTGCCTCTGCAATATTCCTATACTGAGTCGTTGGAGAAGAGACTGAGGTAATATTTGGAAGGCATGGATATTCAAGTAGAAACTTCTACCTCTGAAACATCAAATGACTGTCATAAATTATCAATGTAAAATCTTGGTATCTTTTCAAAAAAAAAAAACGTAATATTATGGATTAGTATAATAATTAAACATTATGAAATGACATTTTACAAGGGAAATTTATTTAATAAAATATGAAAATATATCTATTAATACTTAGGTTAAATAATTTTTCTTATTATTTATCATTTTTTTTACAATTTCATTTCATTATTATTTTTAGTGTTAATTTATTCATACGTATCATAGTTATAAATGTTATCACACCAATGAAATCATAAGATTAATTTTTTATTTTAATAATTATAAATTAATTTTTATATATAATGTAAATTAAAAAACTGTTTTTTTATTACGGTAATGCCAAGTCACTTTTTATCGATAAATATAATTACATCAATATCTTACTTTCTATTAATGAAAGAAATTATATTGATTTATTTTTAAATAATTATAACCTAAACAATTAATTATAACAAGACAAGATTTTAAAAATAATGGTATGAAAATCTATTTAACCTAAATAATTATAATAATAAATACTCATTAAAATTGATAAAATATATAATGGATATCAATGTTTTACTCAATGTGTTAAATAACTTATTTTCACTATATAAGGACATGATTCACTATATAAACTTTTTCCATGCCAAAAAAATTCTCAACTTTTTTCAACATATTATTAATATAAAAGTCTTATTTTATTATCATTCTAAAATATTATATACAAATTATTTAAACAAAATATATTAATTTTCAGAACATATCTTGTGAACCTTTTGACGCAGTGATCGAGAAAGAGGTAATTTTGAATTATTGAATTTGAAAGATCGTAATCTATAATCAGTAACCAAAATGTTTTTTTTTAATTATTATATTCAAATAATGATCTTATAATTCAAATTAGAATATAAATATTGTTTAATTATTTTTTAGATAATTTTCATATGACTCAATCGAATAACCTTAATAACGCTTACATCAAAAATCAACTTTTACCTACTAGAAAACCCCCATAATTTTCAATGGGAAGTCTTTAACAAAGTAATGGAAGCAAACTCGAACAAAAACAAAAGTTTTGGAAGAGAAAGTAAAGAGGAAGACTAAATATGTTTTTTTTTTTTTTTTAATTATGGGGTGTAGAAAGAAACTCAAAGATGGAAGTGGAAAGAGGAAAAAAAAAAAAAAGTATGATTTCAGTAGTTGGGTTGGGCCAACTCAACAGCTATTAGTTGTAACGTCCAGTGGGGCCCACACAAGTGTACCTGTATGCAATCATTTTCAAGTACCGACTCACTCACCTTGCTTCCTCTGTTGGCATCTCCTTCGCATACACACGTTTCATTCTTTACCATCGTTCACTCGCTCACTGCCACTCACCCACGACACGCGCCACGCGCAACCGACACAGCCCGAACGGGTTACCGATTCACTCCACTCACACGCTTCCCAACTAAGTCGCCGTCGTGGCCACCAACATAACAATGCATATGGACTCCTCCTCCGACGAGGAGGACGACCGCCGCAACCTCGTTGACCAGAACCACCGCAAGCCTCCTTCCCCGGTCCCCGCTGCTGCCTTCCACGTCGAGAATCTCTCCCCGCGCTTCCGCCGCTTGAATTTCAGCCTCCAGAAGAAGTACATTGTCGCAATCCTCGCTATCCTACTCGTCATCCTCTTCTTCTCCGTCGCCGATTTCCACAGCCTCTTCTCAAACTCTTCCTTACCATTCGATTCCCTCACTAATCGAATGAAGGAATCCGAATTGCGCGCCATTAACCTCTTGCGCCAACAACAGCTAGGGCTCTTGACTGCGTGGAACACGACTCGCCGGTCCAACGCGTCGGATCCGAACAAATTGGAGGATCTGAAATCCGCGCTGTTCAAGCAGATTTCCCTTAACCGAGAGATTCAGCAGGTTCTGCTAAAGCCGCATTCCACGGGGAACATAGCTGAGCCTGAATTCGATTTAAACGCTACTCTGAACGGCGTCGTTTACGATAGGTGTAGAGCGGTGGACCAGAATTTGTCGCAGAGGAGAACCATCCAGTGGAACCCTAGGGATGGTAAATTCTTACTCGCTATATGCGTTTCAGGGCAAATGTCTAACCATTTGATTTGTTTGGAGAAACACATGTTTTTCGCTGCTTTGCTAAATAGGGTTTTGGTGATTCCTAGTTCCAAGGTGGATTTCCAGTACGACAAAGTTGTGGACATTGATCGCATTAACAAGTGTGTGGGGAAGAAAGTGGTGGTTACGTTTGATGAGTTTTCGAATTTGAAGAAGGGTCACATGCACATTGACAAGTTTTTGTGTTACTTTTCTAAGCCTGAGCCTTGTTATTTGGATGATGAACGGTTAAAGAAGTTGGGGGCGTTGGGTTTGACTATGAACAAACCTGAGGCTGTGTGGGATGAGGATACTAGGAGTCCGAAGAAGAAGACGGTTCAGGATGTGCTGGGGAAGTTTAGCTATGATGATGATATTATGGCAATTGGGGATGTGTTCTACGCTGAAGTGGAACGAGAATGGGTGATGCAACCCGGTGGGCCAATTGCTCACCAATGCAAGACTCTTATTGAACCTAATCGCTTTATTTCACTCACTGCTCAACGCTTTATTCAGACATTCCTGGGAAGGAACTTCATTGCATTGCATTTTCGAAGACATGGCTTTTTGAAATTCTGGTATACCCTCTCTTTCTTTCATTCCCCCTTTGTGATCTCTCATAGCCATATAAAGTTAGAATTTATTTTTATGTATTGTCCATGTAAAAAGTTGGGCACTATCCAACCAGTAAGGAATCATGATAACTAACTTTTAAAGCAGTTATTGTAAAAGTAGCAAAATTACCATATTTGAGATCGTGCAAAATTTTTATATTGATAGTGCATGGACCATTTTCTCATAAATTTATGACTTGAATGATATGTATCATGTAAGGTATAAACTTTACCTGAGCGATTCGCTTGTTTTCGTGACAAGACAATTGCTAGTTGCGTTTTCATGTCTCAATGACATAAACATGTGTGAAATTCCGCAATTCGGTCTTGTTCATTCTTATTTTTTTCTACCATTATGTTGTCTCTGATGTTACGTTCTTGTGTTTGCAGTAATGCTAAAAAGCCAAGTTGCTTTTACCCCATTCCTCAAGCTGCAGATTGCATCCTGAGGGTGGTTGAGAGGGCGGATGCACCTATTGTTTATCTATCTACGGATGCAGCAGAAAGTGAAACTGGTCTGCTTCAGTCACTAGTCGTGCTGAATAGCAGGCCTGTTCCTCTTGTAATACGTCCAGCTCGAAATTCAGCAGAAAAATGGGATGCTCTGTTGTACAGGCATGGTTTGGAAGGAGATCCACAGGTGAGATGACACTGTTTCATTTTACTTTTCTGTCCAAGTCCAGCACTGTTAATGACCTCAATACACCTTCTGATTTGTTTTAAATAAATAAAAGTGTTTACATGACTATATAATTAATCATGCTGTGCTTTTTTTGGTTCCATAATTGCACGTGTTCTACATCTGGAAAAATCCTCACATTTTTTGTCCCCTCGATGTTGTGATTATCCAAGATTCTAAGACAATCTTTGATTTGTCATAGATGAAATGTAACTACTCTCATTCTATCATTCAAGCTTTTACATTCAGAAAAAATAAAATTTAAAGAACCTAGGCATTATTCAACTTTGTTGGTTCAGTTGTCCTGCAGTGGCATTGGCTTCTGCTTGGGAATAGAGGTTTAGGAATCTGTACCATAGTTTCTGTTAATTTAGTGCAATCACTGAAAAAATATGCCGTGGCTTACACTAAAAAATTCCATTGCAAACTTCTGATTGCATGGTTCTTTCTGCTCTACATCACTGGTGTTTTTGACCACTCTATATTTCTTTTGCTGATGTGCATTATGAATATTTTCATGGTGAAGGTGGAAGCGATGCTGGACAAGACTATATGTGCCATGTCTAGCGTGTTCATCGGAGCCCCTGGTTCCACTTTCACCGAAGACATCTTGCGGTTGAGAAGGGGCTGGGGAACAGCATCGATATGTGATGAGTATCTTTGCCAAGGTGAGGAACCAGATATTGTAGCGGAAAATGAATAATAACAAAACGGTTTTCTGCTTGTTCCGTGATTGGGGATTTGTCAATGTGAGTAGTCATGTAAGATATTAGAAATAGCGATGTTATGGATATGTTTACTTCTTATACACATTCTTTTGTCATAGTGATTATAATTTGTATTATCCTCACAATTAATCCAGAATTTGCTTCAAAGCAATTCTGCAGTTCTCATTCTTCATCGTAAATGGATCCTAATATTGGTACACTTCACAACACACTAATAATCTTTTTGGTATTTAAAAGCTAATAAAATCACGAAACCACCTGTAGATTTTTTTTTTATAAGTTAATTTGTTCATTTTTTATCTATATTTTAGTAGTGCTTATGAAGAAGTTGATTCAAACAAACTCTAAATATATTTTTATTACTTAAAAATTATCTGTTTTTTTTTATAAATTTTTCTGTTTTATTTTTATTTCAAACAATAATTCAAATAATGTTTTGAACTGTTAAATAAATTATTTAAATAATGTTTTCGGGATAAAACAAAGTAAAAAATGATTAGAAAATGAAAGTTTAAAACAAAAATCGATAATTTATTAAAAAATAAATACATATTTAAGTCTTAAATTAATTTGTATTTCATATTTATATTAAAATTCATAAATTTTGTTGAGCATGTGAGACTTAAATATGTGGACTTTGAAAAAAAAAAGTACATACTTACTTAAACAGACTTAATTGTAATTTAAATATCTCATCATAATTATTTTGCAATTTTCATTCTTTTGAAAAATCTTTTAGTTTAATTTTCTAGATCGTTATCAATGGTTATAATCACATTTAAAAAAAAAAAACAAAGAGGATTATATGCTTTTTTACTTAATAAAAATTTTGACATTTTAATTCAAAATTCCAGTTAAAATTTCCCCACACACCCTCAAAATAAAATCAGTTTCATTGATCATTAATTTTTTCCATGTTACAATTTTGACAATTTGCTTCGTTGTCCCATATTGATGCATCAGATAAAGTAATTGCATCATCTAAAAACGATGCCCTGTTACCTCATATTAAAATCACTTTATTCCTCTAATAAAAAGTTATCATACCATTTAATTTGTATTATTAAATAAATTATGTGATGAGTTTTTATTGGATATAAAAGGACAGACTTTGGAAATATGTAACTTTTATTGTGTTACCTTAATATACCAACCAATTAAAAGACGTCACCCTAATACTAAAGAACACATATATTTCCATCCTTTGTTGTTATGTTTCCACTGAAAACAACTATTATACTGACAAAATAATTAACTACAAAATCAATTGACAGCGAGATCTTGATATGGTCAACGTGTAAGATCCAAAAGTTCATCCTTACTCATGAAAATTGGATATAATTCTTAAATTTGGTGTAATAAAATGAATTCCACATAAAATTGTGTAAGAACTTGCAAACAAACATATCTCTATTTTTTATGACCTTCTTTCTGTTAAATAATTAAAAATCCTTAATTTTCATTACAAATGTTCACAATTAAACTTATCAAATCACTTTTTTTTAGTTAAGTTTTATAAAGTTAATAAAAAATATCAAGTTAATTACCATATTTTATTCAAATGAAAATTCATAGTTGAATTGAATCATTAATTTTCTTGTGCAAAGTATTTATGGAAGAGTTTAATTTCATCCTTCATTGGTGTATTTTTTTTACAGTATAGACCAATTAAAATTTTTTTATGCAAGATTTTTAAAGTATTTATTCTGTTTTACAAGGTTTACAATTTTAAATTTTCTTGAAAAAAACTTTTGATTGATGCTTACATTTTTTAATTAAATATTAATTTTTTAAAATAAATTATTCTATTCGTTTTAGCAAAAAATATATATAGAATCAGTAAATTTGTTTTAATGATACTATTATTTTTAAAAAAATATATAATTATTTGTTTTTTTAATTTAAATATATATACATATCTATATAAACATTTGAAAGGAGAAAAAATTCATAAGCTTAAATTAGTTTATATAATATTAAAAATAAAAATACAATAGATTAATGAATATTTTATAAATCAATTTATTTAACATAGTTATTTTTTTTATGTTTTTAAATATTCATTAAAATTCTTATGAAAACATGTCAGAGTAAAAATCTAAATTGTAGATCTATTAATCATTACAGGACTTGTCTTAAGTTTAGTTGTAGTCTTTATTAGTATAATTTATTGTTATGTTTGTTTCTATTTCCATTTATTCATAAATAATCCTCTAAAATGGAATAGGTAACCTAAAATAAATTTGATGTTTTTTACTTAATCCGTTTGACACAAAATTTAATCATATGAATCATATATTTATGAACTCAAAATAATAATTATAATTAAAAATTAATAATATTATCATTGTTTTTATTTATATAAATCAATTTTAATATATATATATATATATATATATATATATATCATTTTTGCTATTTTTTAAAAACAAATAAATAGAATATGTAATAAATTAGGTGATCAAATTTACGATGTGGTTATGACACATCTTCTCCTTCTTTTTCATTTTCTTAGGGTTTTACTTCTAAGGCTTCTTGCGTTCCATTCTTGGCCATCACATCATGAGAGCGAAATTACTCGTCTTCCCAATACGAGGTAGGAACTGGTGCTTCACCAGAACCATCGATCACTCTCTCTCCGCCACCCCTGTTTCCTCCCAATCCCCTTCAACCCTCAGAGACTTGTGGACCAATGTGAAAGTGGCTGACAAACCCCTTAATGCCAAAGCTGAGCTCTTTGTTGATTTCATCGCCAACAAGGTCCCATTACCTTCTTTTCTCGTGAATTTCTCTTTCTGGGTATCTATCTTTTCTAATCTCTGGTTCTTTGGGTCGTAGATGAATAAAGCTTGGATTGGCTTGGAGACAGCGCCAGATGGGTCTGTAAAGAAGAAGATTCATGGGTGGGTTTTGCTTTGTTGTTTAGTGGCGGTTGGTGAAGTTTTTTCTCGCTAATGAGCTTTTCGCAGGTTGGGATTGTGGCTCTTGTCTCGGGTTAAGCCCTCGGAGATATTTTTGAAATCTATATCCAAAGAAATCACTAGTGTTGAAGTCATTTACCCATCGAGGTTGGCCATGCATACTTGCCTTGTGAATGTGTTATTTGTTTGGAGTTTTACTTTTAGAGTTTAATTTCTATGCACTGGCGTTAAACTAGTTTACATTGTTCAATTCGTCCACATTATATTGATATTTAATGCAAATAAGGGATCAGTGTGAAGTGTGGAGTGTAAAATGAAAGATGAAGTTATGTCTGCTTTCTATGCAGAGACCTTTCCTGGTGGTTTTATCTTTGATTTTCATTTTAAGTATTGCGTTATCCATGCTTGACAGGTCCATTTTGCTTTATTGTGCTTCATATATAGAATTCGTTACACTAGTATGCCTTTTTTAGTCTATAGAATAATCTGCACTTGAAAATCATGTGGGATTGCAACGTGAATGAAAAGGACAATTTAGCAGAAATACAGATAGCTTTGTTCTTCTTTTTTCTAACAATAACAATCATAATACAATTGCAGTTTGAATGCTGAACTTGTTCGTCGAAGACTACGACATGTTGCTATGAGGTAATTCTTGCCCCTCTCTTTCTACTGGTGATGCCAGAATTAATTATTTTATGTGCTAACATGGAACGTGTACTGCTTGTGATTTAATTTTAAGTGTTACTATCTTCATATGATCTCTTATCTGTTTGCAGGGGATCGATTATTCACCGGAAGTACTTCTATGGTTCTGTTTCATTAATTCCATTGACTTCTGCACTTAGCGTAAGTATGTCTTCTGTGAACGTTACTTCCTATATATTATTGCTTTGTTATGTTGTTGTGCATTTTGCTCTTTGATATTAAATTCATTCTTTTTTGTCTATTGATATCGATGTCTTATTTTTGGACTGCAGATTTTACCCTTGCCTAATGTGCCATTCTTCTGGGTTTTATTTCGCACTTACTCTCATTGGAGAGCCCTGCAGGTTCGTACTATTTTTCACAATACATGCCATCCATTATTTTCCTTCTCTGTCATAGTGTTTCTATGTCTATGTTGCTGTTACAATCAAGGACTTTCTACTGTTCATTTCAGTCTCAACCTTCTTCTAATTCTAAGAGTGTCTTATTTTATAGAAGTCATATTCTTGTCAAGCTTGTTAAGGTTGTCAAATTGGCAAAGGACATTGGTTACTCATAGACATCTTCAGGGATTGTGATATGACCATATCTCATCCCACTATATGTATATCGAAGCTTACTTTTTTCTCCGGTTAAATTACGCTGTTGGTTCTTACTGTTAAACATATTTCATCTTTTAATCCACGGAACATCTGTAAAATCATATGTATAAAGACTAAAATAAATTATTTTTAAGTGTAGGGACTAAAGATAAAGTTTGTATGACTACAAGGATCTATGAAACACCAATACTTCAATTTGTTTTTCTTCTGTGGCTGACACATGTTGTGTTTGATACTCCACCAATACTTTTGGGTACTTTACCACCAATATTTATGGGTTAAATGTTCAAATTTTTAAATCGTTCAAATCCAATATAAGTTCAAGAAACATATAAGGACTAAATGAGTAATTAAAACCATTTTTTCAATAACAATATCCAACCAGTATGTTTCAAACTTAGGAAGGTGGTACTGTAATCATTGCGGACATCACTTGATTTGACAGAAATTAAGAAAGTTACATTTTGTTGAAGAAAGTTAACAGCAGAATAATGTCATTTTTTATTCTCGGATTTTTATCTAATGTTTGGAACTTGACTTTGAATTACATTTATGCTGAATTATGTATCGTTTATGTAATTTGATTCAGGGAAGTGAGAAGCTTCTTCAACTGGTCTCAAACAGCAGCAAAACTTCAAAAACACGAACGGATAAAAAGGAAGCTGAGGATAAGGAATCTAAAAGTCAAAACCACAATGATTCACATTGGGTAAGTATTTCCTAGTTCTTACAGGCTCTAAATTGTGTTATACCCAAACTAAATTTTGGGTTAAAAATTTACAGTACATTGATATCTCTTACTTTTGTTTATTTATATTTATCAAAATAATTAATCAGGTGTTGCGGTCATCTAAAGAACTAGACAATCTTCTTCATTTAGAAGATGGGGATGAGCATGAGGGACTTAGTAAATTTACCATCTTGAAAATCTGCAAGATCTATGACTTGAACACCACAGATGTTATAAAATACGACAAGTCTTCCTGAATTAATTCTGTAATTCAATTCGAATCTTTTATTCTATTTACTTTCGTTTCAATTTTCTTACATTTTTCGCTCATATTTGAATTACTCCTGTAATTCGATTCAAATATTTTACTTAATTCATTTTCTTTCTAATTTTTCTTAACGTTTTTTCATATTTTTGTTAGCTAATACCAACTGATTTAGAATAACTATAATTGTCATTAAGACGGATATTTCTTTTTAATATTGCACTAATCATCGTTAGTATTTGTTTGAGTATCTAGACATATTTTTTTCAGTATTAAAATATGTCTGAAAAATTAAAATTAATTTAAAATATTCTACTTTGTTAATTTTTAAAACATAATTATTTTCATTAATTATACTGTATATTTGTTATCCCTATTTTTTATATAAAATTGGTCATTTATAATTATAATTGAACAAAATATCATTTATTTTTTACTAAATGTTTACAAGTAATGTTTAATTAAAATTATTTTTTTAAAATTAAATAATCTAAAAATTATAATTCACATGCATTCTTTAAAATTAAATTATCTAAAATTGTAATTCACATACATCTTTAAAAGGCCGTAGAGAATTACAATTCTATGTATGAGTTTTCTAGAAATTTATTAAGTTTTTAACTTATTATATTAAATAGTTTAATAAAGATATAGTATTTTTTAAATTCAGACACATTTGGTTGAAGAATTTTTTTGGGAAAAAGATTCTTTTACACTCCTTTTTCAGTAAACCTTCACCAGCCTTTTTTATATAAACTCTTTTCATTATGATTGAATAAATAAAATGGGTTGTTGAATGAATATATATTTTTCTTTGAGATATCAGTTCTCATCTTTTTTATCTCATGACAACATTTCCATATATCTTATTAAAATTTAAATTAAAAAATATAATATAATAAAAAAATAAAATTATCTCTCTTAAATTTGATTAGATAATTTAGATAATATTGTTGTATAAAATATAAGTAAATTAATGAAAGTGGTGTATTTATATTTTAATGAGAACCGAAAACAAAAACAAAAAACATGAAAAAGTAGTATGGAACCGGAATAAATTTATTATTTTTTCTAATATGTTTGATGAAGTATGTAAGGGAAAATATATTATAATTTCACAAATGTAAATACAAACTTTAATTCAATATTTGGAGAAATTAATAAAATGATGAATTTCATGATAAATTATATTAAATGAAATAAGAACAATAATATTGTTTAGTATTTATTGTTTATCCTTATGGTTCATTGATGAATATAGAATTTAAAAAGTAAATAAAATAATACATAATATTTTTAAAAATTTGATTTTGAATTTCAATTATATATAAAAAAAGAAAGAAATTAAAAAATATATATAGTTATCAATTAACTTACATCAATTAATTGTTAAAATTCTTGTTTTAAGTATCTTTTTTATTTTTGTATTGTCTTGGTTATTGGTAGTAAAATTATTCTTTGTTACTTCTCTTTTGTGAATACTATTTTTTTTTTAGTATTGTTATTACTAATCTTAAAAGTGAATATTGATGATGATGATTTGATTATTCTAAGAATTTTTAGTAGAGAATAAGTAGTAAAAGACAATGTAATCATTGACAAAAAAAGTTTTATTAAGTGAAACACAACATAAAGTGTATATACGAGAGAGTGTTGTGAGGATAAACTTATTGTTTTTTTTTATTTGTTAAATAAAGCATGTTAGGGGAAATAATAAATACTAAAAATTTATAAATGCAAATGCAAGTTTTAACTAAGCACTTGGAGAAACTAATGAAACAACAAAGTGATGAACTCATGACAAATGGAACAAAAATGAGCAAGCACAACAAGACACTATTCATGCATTTGTCATCTTTATTTACTGTTTATCGTGCATTGTTCATTGTTGAATATCAAATTTGAAAAATAATATGTGATATTTTTTCAGTTTTGATTTTGAATTTCAATTATATATAAAAAACAAAATGTTAAAAAAAAGATAGATATCAATCTTTATATTCAACGCACATCAATTATCTGCTAAAAATCTTGTTTCAAGCCTCTTCTTTAATTTCAAATTGTCTTGTTGGTTGATAACAAAATTATTCTTTGCTACTTCTTTTTTGTGGATACTAAAATTTTGTTTTTTTTAGTATTGTCATTATTAATCTTAAAAGTGAATCTTGAGTGTGGATTGTTTTACTATTGTAATAACCTCGAAGTAGATAATGAATAATAAAAGACGAGTATGATCATTGATAAAAGAGTTGAGTGAAACACGAGCGTGTACACACAAGAAAGAGTATTGTGAGGATAAACTTATTATTTTTTCTAATATATTTGTTGAAACATGTTAGAAGAGATAGTGTTGATAAATTTATTGTTTTTTTTTAATATGTTTGTTAAAACATGTTAGGACAAATAATAAATACTTAAATTTCACAAATGCAAATATAAGTTTTAACTCAACATTTGGAGAGACTAATAAAAAAGTAAAAGTGATAGACTTTATGACAAATTGGACCAACGGGAGCAAACACAATAAGATATTATTCATGTACTGAATATTTTTATTTATTATTCATCGTACATGGTTCATTGTTAAATATAAAATCTGAAAAGTAAAAAAAAATACATGATATTTTTTCAATTTTGATTTTGAATTTTAATTATACATAAAAAAAATTAAAAGAGAGAGAAAGAAGTTTAACAAAAGAAAAATAATATATTAATCATTCAACTTTTCTAAAAACTTTAAAAATTTCAACTTATTTCCCTTTTTTAACTCAAACATGGCATCTAATATGGTGTATAATGTTTTTGACTAATGAATAATTTTAGGTAGTTTTTTTTTCCTAATTTTTATCCTTAGAAAGAAAAGTTGAATAAAGTCTAAGAATTTTGTTTTTTCACATGAACTTGGTAATTATGTGTGAATAAGGTATATAAACAAATAAAACTCAGTTATACTGGTTAGCTCCACAATAAAAATATAATTAAATATCTTTACTCGTCACTTCTAATTACAATAAAAAAAACGTTTAATAAAAACTTATAAGAACAACTTCGATAGAATATAATAAAATGGTAATGATAGAAATTCTAACTTCATTAGGGAGATGATATATCAAAGATTTTCACTATGTTACTAAACATTCTAACAAATATTACATGTAAGGTTTAAGTGAAAAGTTTGTACAAATTATTGTATTGTAGTTGTATTTTTGCATTCCTATTCTTTATTTTCTATAAACTCTAACAAATCTGGCCATTTAAACAAAAATCTCTATCTTTAGTATTTTTTAGAAATAATTTTCTAACATTTTAATAAATAAGATTATTATGATGTATCTTAATTCATAATTTTTCTTTATAATGTCTTGACATGTACATGGAAAAGATAGTTAATTAAAAATTATATTATAGATAATAATTTTTTTATATATGTTAATATAATATATTTTATTATATTGAATTAATAATTGAGTGAGAGATTTATTATGGATTTAATTTATATGTAATATTTTATATAATTTTATATCTTATTACATATAATTTTGTATATTCTAATTTTAATCTACATAAAATCATTTATATAATTTGATATTAAATTAGAAAATTCATTTAAGTTGGCATATTATAATTATAAATTTTATTCAAATAATAGGGCATATTTTCTATAAGAAAAACAAACTGCCTCGGACAAAAATATTAAAAAAGAATATACGTTGATTTAATAATTCAATTTTTTTATATATTTAACTATATATATATATATATATTAATGACATTATCATTAGAAGATAAATTGTTATTTTATGTATGTTTTTATTTATTTTTAATTTGTTAACAACTTATTTTTATTTACTTTTTATAAAAATATGAAATATTATAATCATCTAATAAATTATTAAAATTTTAAAATATTTTTTTACTGAAACATGTCGTGGGTCGTGGGTCATTTTCTTAAATAAAGTCATAAATATGTTTAATATTCTAAATTGTCCATTAGTAATTATTTTGGATAATATAACTAATAGAATTGTCGCATTTTCCCATTATTCTTATATTGTTCATTATAATTATAATGAGTTATAAATATCATTGCATATTTTGTTATTGATTTTTTTTTCATGAGGCTAAATTAATATAAGATATTAATATCGTTGTTTTCAATATATTTTTTTTAATGATATTAAGATGAAATAAATAAAGAGAAAACACATGAGACTATTAAGGCTACAAGAGGAAAGAATTGATAAAAAATAAAATGGATAATATTACTCTAAAAGAGAATTAAAAAACAAAAATCCTACAAAATCTTATGATTTGTCAAACATAATACTCTTTACGAGAGTAAACAAATTTTACCACGAACTTAATCTATTTATCCTAAACTAAATGTTTACTTTGAAAAATCTTGTAAAAGTAACGAATGAAAACTCTTTCATTTTTGTTTTTATCTTCTACAAAATCATTTTTTTCCTATCATTATTAATTGATCATATTCCTTTTAATTATTTTTTCTATTAATTATATATCATTCAAAATGGTGTAATTTTTTTTAATTTTATCTTCATTTTCAAATGATTTTTATTTTAATATAATTTTAAAAAATTTCATCATTATTCTTTATCATTATAAAAATTATATTTATTCTTTATTTATGAGTTTCATTTTAAATTATAATAAAATAATAATTTTGATGGTAACTATATGTACACAAAACGACATGTTGGTGAAATAATGACTCTATTTATGATTTGAATGCTTATATTTAAATTTTAAACTCTATCACCTTAAAAGTTTAATATTTTTATTTTATTTTCTATATTTATAAAACATAAATACGAGGTAAAATATTTGATTTAATATCCTAAACAAAAAATATTTAATATGAATTCATTTCTCTGGTTTGTTCCATTATCATATAAAAGGGCGTAGCTGAACCCTTTTGCAGCAGCTTCCACTGAAATCCCTTTCTTTGGGTTTCTTTCGCTTCTCTCCAAA